TTCATCCGAAGAATATTTTAAATTTTAAATACTTTGCCCACAGAGATCAACGAGACAGACATTTAAGAGAGTATGAGAAAAAAAGATGTGTGGCAAAATTCAGTTTGATACTTTTAAAAGCCCAGATTACAAGGTGGTACGAGGAAAGATTGAAAAGTACCAAGTTCTGTTCATTCGTAGATAAGTTAGAATTAATCAAATACCAAAATACTCAAAAAACAAAGTATTGAAAATTCAAAGACCACGATTCCCAATGGAGTATTGACAATGACACTAAATACGATCAAAAGTTTTATTTTATTCTGATTTATGTGTATTCTGTGAACAATACTTCTGAAATTCTAGCAAATGCATGATATCAAGAAAAGAAATGACATTTCGGCGAACTACGGGGCCAGTCAAAAAGAATGTGACATGGATGGATTTTTTCCCCTTGGTCAACTGGCTTTGATCCAATTTTTGACAAATTTTAAAGTGCTCAAAAATACATGATGCATATAACAAAAATTCAAATCAGCTAATATGTATAATGTCTTGAGAAAATATGCAGTCTGCTTCACCTTAATAATTGTTTGGAATGTACTCAGTCAATGCAAATTTATAATAACGATTTGGCCCCAACGACACCTAATGCGGAAAAAATCGTTCAACTTAGTATTCCGGAAGGTTCCGTATAACACCACTAGACAATTTGTCATGACAGAAATTCGAATGTCGCTGTCTGTTGTTTTAACGATTTTTTCAAACCTGTTTGCTTTTCAACTGCGATATGATGAAATTCATGTCGCCAATTAATTTCTAATTCATTTAATTTAATTATTTTCACTATGTTTAAAGTTGATACGCTTTCATACCCGTAGCTACGCATGTGATTCCTAAGACAAATTATCATAGACTTCCCGGTACCTTACACTAAAATTCAAATTCCATGCAAATATCCCTTTAAATTCGTTCTAGAACACCATTGGGCTTTTATCATTAATTCCTATTTCGAATTTACAACACACGATTTCACATGGTGCAGTTTATTTACAAGCAAAATGCTTGTCCCAGCGCTTCGTGAGCACATTTCATATATTGTCCGTTGCCTAGGGAAATCTTGGAAATCATATTTTGCGTAATCGCAAAAGCCTTTTCAAGTACACGTAGACTACACGTGCAGAATTTGTACAGGTATTGTACTCGTCGAACTCGGACTCGGACATCGGCGCACTCGGACTCGGCCCAGTGCTCGGCCTTGAATGTACTCGAACTCGGTTATTTGGATTCTGACTCGTCACATTGTACTTGGACTCGGCCCTGGACTCGGCCCCTGAAGTACTCGGAGTACTCTATATTCGGGTTTGAGGATTCGACTCCAACATGCGAAAAAGGTGCGCGTAAATTGGGCTAAACGTAGGCGAAGGGTTGCCTAAGGTGGGGGACTTGAACCAGTTCAAACAAATCCCAAAAATTCCCGTAAAAGAAAACATTTTTTCGTAGACATAATAATTTACGGAAGACGGATAGTGCCACTCACTAAGTCTGAATATATTTTTTTGTACGTGTGAAAATATTTTTTTTGTACAGCGGCCGCCACTTATTATGTTGCGGCCGTCACATAATAAGTGGCGGCCGCCACGTAATAAGTGGCGGCCGCTGTACACAAAAATATTTTCACACGTACAAAAACATATATTCAGACTTATTGAGTGGCACTCTCCGTCTTCCGTAATAATTAGTATAAGCAGCCATGATCTCTTGTTTTGGTGATCTCTTATTTTGCTGCGATTTAATCTATCTTTTGGCTTTTTTTGTAAAACAGAGCTTTATTGCCAAATGTGGACACTGCGTTAACGTTGGAAGCTGAAAATTGACCAATTCCTTTAATAGTAAACATTACAAGTTATTCCTCGAGTAACTTACCGGTACCAGTCTGGGTGCAGTTCAGAAATGTTCCGATCTCCATTGGATCGTTGCTTCGCAAGAAGGTGTCATAGTAGGTCACATTGAAGGGTCTGCTGGGTGCTTGGGTGTTGAGTGAACCCACGTGTACCTCCTTGCACTGACAGGGGTTCTTTACGGGGATCACCCAGCGGTACCTACCGCTGGAGGGGTCCGGCTCCTGGCCCATGTAGCAGGACATCGCTATGTCAAAAACAGACATTACAAATTATATTTTAATAATATAATGGACTAGAGTATCTTAGATGCTGGGTGTGGTTAAACGAAACACTTCGTTGAGTGAACCACGAAGTAAAGTATATAGGATATTTTTCCCGCACCGCGAATTGACGTGTCGTCTATGAACTTTGCGAAAACGATACATCACTTCGTGGTGCCGAAACTATCCAGGATACGTCGGTTCGTTGTGCGGCAATCCACGAAACGTCACTTCGTGGTGCGGCAACCATCCATGATATGTCACTTCGTGGTGCGGCAACCGTCCACGATACATCATTTCGAGTTGAGGCGTCTATCCACGATACGTCACTTCGTGGTGAGGCAAGTATCCACGATACGTCAATTCGTGGTGTGACCGACGACTTGATCCGTTTCAAATAAAGGTTTCCGAGTAACATTAAACCATGCAACCCTCATTATGGGTACCTGCGTCCGGTGCTTGATGTGCCTCACATTAGGAAAATCAGCCATAACAACAGTAAAATACTTCAGTTTCAATGAAAGCAAAGACGTAATAAATTTCTTTTAAAATCACCAGGAGTTTTCAATAAGTGTGAATGCGTTATGCTGACACTCGGCGCCTCTGTTTTTTTTTTATTTGTTTTTCGAAAGCTCATGCCAATGACTTGTATTCAACATTTAGGCTAATCTTAATTTAAAGAAAAAGGCCTTTGACGATAATTAAAGCATCTTTATGTATAATAATGCACAATTGACCTCTCTTCCTTACCTGCTGTTCCATCTACAAACAAGGCAGCATAAATCAATAACACCAAAACTCCTAATTGAATGGTCAGCATTTTGGTCCCGGTGTATGTATTCGCAACACTCAATATCTCAATGGAGTATCCTATCTGATCCAAACTTCTTGCCGAAGCGACTCTTCGCTGTCTCCGCTGTCGGTTGGGCACGGCTCAGGTCAACCCCATCTAATATCTATCTAAGCTAAGTAGAGAAACGTTTGCCATGGAAACCATGACCATGGATCACGCACGCTTTTTGAGATGTTTGATTAGGATGGCGAGGACAGTCAGGAACTCCTGAAATCTCCTTGTTTCATTCCCAGGTATATATTTTGTTTGTAATATTGAACGGTTATTAAGTCTGGAGTGATGAATGGTAACACATAACAACCGTTGAAAACGAACGGACTGATGAAAAGCTGATTCCATCGGTTGACGCAGTGGCGTGCCGCCCTATATCAATAATTTAAATCTAATGTCATTGTTCATGACTGAACGCGTGCGTTCACTTAAGAAGCGATTTGAAAGCACTGAATTGTGAGGTTTTTTTTATTAAATTGAGCGTGGTTGAATTGTGGTATACTTCACGGAGACTTGCCAAGGTTGCCCGCCAGATATGCTTAAATACGAAAGTGGATCAACATGGAAGCATGTCGCTTGGCTTGTTCAACAGTTACTATGCTAATCAGCGCCGTCATAATAGTGACGCTACAATTCTGGTCCGCTATGTTCTTGGGAGACGCCCGAATTTTATTATGTCTTTCTTTAAAGGCCTATATGGATCATTTGCATTTATCCCCAAATAACCTACCGAATTATCATCCAAAGGCTAAGCCAGACAAAGAGCTGTTACAAGCTGGTACTAAACACCCTGTGAAATTATTCCGTCTGGCTTGCTGTCATTTAGAAGAAATCAACAAATGTCCAACGATTAGTCGTTGACTGATCGTTGGAAATAAAAAGACATGTGAATGAAATCGTGTTTCATGATCTATTGTGCATGGTGTAATATCCACTGAACTGAGACTTCAACAAGTCAGGCTTGGAACATTCTTCTGTGAATTTTGAGCGGTATTTTTTTCAGCGGAAACGAACAAAATGCATGAAAAGTGAACTATCACAGGCCTTAATGCTTCTAAGCCAAATACTGGCCAGCGCATTGATTGTCAGATCGACCCATGACGCAGGGGTCATTCTGATTTAAATATCTACGGGTTAACCAATAGGGTGCTGCCTTAATCGTGACGCACGAGTACGCAGGAGAAGTAGGACAATCAAGTAAAGGCGATGTTTCACAGCCAAGACAAATAGCAACCAATAAGATATCAGAAGCACGAGGCTATTGCCTGTGTTGAGAGAAGGTCTTCAGTAATCCAGACGGATTAATTTCACCGAGTGTTTAATACCAGTACGATATTTGATCCAAGTAAGCTTTTCGATAATAATTTTGTACGTTATTTTTGGGATAAATGCAAGTGATCCTATAATGCCTTTAAGCAAAGACGAAGACATTATTCATGCGGCCCCCAAAAAACAAAACGGCCAAGAACTGCAGCATCACCATTAAGACGGCGCTGATCACCATAGTAACGGTTGAACAATGCAAGTGACGTGCTTCCATGTTAGCCCACTTTCGTGGCCTGGTATATTTGGTGGACAACCTTGGCAAGTCTCCATAAAGTAGGCCAATATCAAAACCACGCTCCCTGTGAATTAAATGAAAAACACGCAGTTCGATGCTTTCAAAGCGCCTTGTGTTATAGAGAAAAATTAAGTGAATGCACGCATTGATAATGAAGATTGAAACTCGGTTAGGCTTCAATTATTTATATAGAGCAGCGCAGCAATGCGTCAACCGATAGAATCAGCTTTTTATTAGCCCGTTCGTTTTCATCGGTTGCTCGATACCATTCATCACACTAGACTTAATAACCGTTCAGTTTTATAAAAAACATATCTGGGAACACAATAAGGAGATATACTTGTTCCTAAATGTCCTCGTCAACCTAATTCAAATCTCAAAAAGCGAGCGTCAGCCATGGTCATGGTTTCCATGGCAAACGTTTCTCTCTACTTATCTTAGATACATATAAGATGAGGTTGAACCAAGCCGTGCCCAACCAACAGCGGAGGGAGCTGCTGCGAGAGTCGCTTTGTCAAGAAGTTTGGATCAGATACTCCATTGAGACATTGATGAGTGTTGCGAATACATACACCCGGACCAAAATGCTGACTATTCAATTTGGAGTTTTGGTGTTATTGATTTATGCTGCCTTGTTCTTAGATGGAACAACAGGTAAGAATGGAAGGGCGATTGCGCATTGTTATACGTAAAGATGTATCGATTATCGTAAAATGCCTTCTTTCTGAGAAACGTTATACTTTGAAATTTTGAATATATTAGCATAATGCTTAGAAACAGGACTAATTATATAACAGAAGCGGGCTTAAGGTGGAACTCTGGGTAAAACAGAGCCGCCAAATCGTCAGCATAACACGTTCATGATTTTTTTCCTAGTGATTTTTAAAATAAAATTTATTATGTCTTGACCTCCATTGAAAACTGAAGCACTAATTTCTTTTTAAATGCATGTTAGCGTTATTCAAGCTGATTTGACCAATGTGAGGCATATAAGAGCGGACGCACGCAACCATGATCTGGGTTGCATGTTCTATATTATCAGGAAACCCTTAATTTCCAACGGATCAAGTTTTCTGTTAACCCACGCCCAGCATTAAAAGATACAGTCCATCATTTGTAATTTGTGCATTTTGTTCGTTTGAAGCAACAAAGGTGTTCAAAATCTAATGAAGGATACTGAACAACTAACCTGATGAAGTTTCAGCTCAGCTTCAGCTGTATATTCCGAGGAAAACAGCATTCTAGGATCTCAATTTCAAATCAAAAGTTGCTGAATCATGTTTTGAATTGTTTTGAATTGCAGCTATACGCGATGTCGCGCACTGATCCGACGAATTATAGCAACCGCGCCCGCCTGTGCTTCGTGCCAATGCTTGCGCGCGCTGCGCCGAATAACAAAACGAACAACTAATTTAAATTTTCCTACAAGACGCACCGTTGGAAAGGCCTTCTTTCGTTGATTACTTCAAAATGATAGCTTGCCAGAAAGATTAATTTCATAGGGAGTTTAGTCCATTTACTATCTTTCAACCAAGTATGTTTTTTTCAACAATAATACGCCAGTTACTTTTTCGGATGGCTGCAAATGATGGACTGTAGCTTTAAAGATGCTCTAGTCGATTTTGTTATTAACCTGTAATTTGTTACGTCTGTTTTTTTTTTTGGCATAGCGATGTCCTGCTACATGGGCCAGGAGCTGGACCCCTTCAGCGGTAGATACCGCTGGGTGATCCCCGTAAAGAACCCCTGTCATTGCAAGGAGGTACACGTGGATTCACTCAACACCCGAGCACCCAGCAGACCCTTCAATGTGACCTACTATGACACCTTCTTGCGAAGCAGCGATCCAATGGAGATCGGAACATTTCTGAACTGCACCCAGACTGGTACCGGTAAGCTACTCGAGGAATAACATTATATTTCAAAACACATAAATTTTAATAGGGAATTGGTAAATTTTTAGCAGCCAATTTTAACGCAGCGTCTGCAACTGGAAAAAAAGCTTTGTCTTAAAAAGTTCAAGGATGGATTAAATTTGAGCAGAATTTTAGAGAAAAAAACATTGTTCTTTGAATGTTAAATATTTCGGCTTTTTAGTATTTTGGTATTTGATTCACTCTGATATATCCACAAATAAACAGAACTTTGTACCTTTTTAGCTTTCCTGTACCACCTTGTATCTGGGCTTTTGAAAATCTCAAATTTAATTTTGTTAAACATCTTTTCGTACATTTCTGTCTCGTTGATCTTTTCGGGCAAAGTATTTAGACTCTAAAATATTTAATTTTCATTTTTTAAATAATGATTTTCCAGCCAGAAACATGCTTCTTCCTGGATTCTATACGTTGTAGGCAAGCTTTGATCATGATAATTATAGATATGTTTATCGTTTCGGTTTTGCGGTAACACCATGTGGTAATAACTACTGCTTAGAAGATATTAGTTCTGAGAAGAACTTGTCCTGCTTATTATCAACTTGCTAAGTAGTTTTTGTTCTGTTAAGAACAGTCCTTCTGTAAGTTCTAAAAGAACTTGTCTTTGGTCTCAACGTTTCGACTAGCCTGTTCTAGTCATCGTCAGGAGACTGAAGATAGTTGGAGATGCTACTCCTTAAGTAGGATTTGTTAGGATTAGGAGTGCTTACTGCTAAGCAGTAGTTATTACCACATGGTGTTACCGCAAAACCGAAACGATACCGATACCCCACCATGCAAAGCCTCAAGTCTTATATAGATATGTTATTTAATCATTGTAAACTATATGGTGAATTAAAAAGAAAATGACCTGGATTAAACAAGTTTTTCTTAAAAGGCAATCAAATTTGACACACTAATGAAGGATATCTTAAAAAAGCATGTCCTTCCACTCATTTGGAAAAAAAACCCAACTAATTACTGAAATTGATCCATACTATCAGACGTTATGCATGCTTTACTAAAACCATTTTTATAGCTGTCCATGGATTGCCATTGAAAGCTATTGAGTTCAGTTAGAATGACAGATTACACACAGGCATTACAATCCAAATGAGATTTTAATCATTTAAATCAAGACGGACATTTTATTTTTACAGTCAGATTTTGTGTTTTGAATATGAGGAACAAGTCAACCCCCCCCCCCCTGAAATATTGATAGTGACTCTTGCTGTTTTGTTTTGTAAGTTTTAATCATTCATCGAGGTGGGAAAACGTCCATGTTTCATTGTATTTAATGGGTATTCATCAGTTCATATAATGGTAAATGATCAGCCGTGGACAGCTGACTTTTGTGATCATGTTATTAAAATAGACACAACTTGGGAATAGAGTTCGCAAATTACGTGACATATTTACAGTTACAAGTCAATAAGATATTTTGTATTTTTTTTATTCGGTCACTTTTTGACTCACCGTGTATAGACATCAACTTATACGTTCACTGTACCGTTGGCAATGTGCATATCTTAAACCGCAAATTAACTTGGTACTCTCGAATTATTGAACGGGCTACAGCAATGTCAGTAGTCCAACCGTTCATTGCGGCGTGAGGTCAATTTTGAAAGATGTTTATATCCTTTCCAAACGTAACGTTGAGGTTGCTTTTATTTAAGAAACAACAATACGCTCGCTGACAGTGACGGGCCTGACTAATTAGCGTGTCAGTTATATCACTTGTCACATATAACCCCTACGCTTGAAAGGTGGCATTTTGACAGACAAAACCTCGCTTATTAACGATGTTGGTTAGTCGAATCAGTTGCATCCTCAACCTTCGTTTGGTGGTATTTAGATTTTGGATGTGGCCCAAAACCATGAAAATTTTCTCTTACATATCAAGTAAATGCACGCATTCAGTTATGAAGATTTAAATCGGTTAAACTTTAATCATTGATATAGGGCGGCGCGGCATTGCGTCAACCGATGAAATTTATCCTCTTTTCATTAGCCTGATGGTTTTCATCGGTTGCTATGTGTTACCATTCAGCACTCCCAAGTCAAGTCAGTTAAATATAAATAGATCTTGGAACGCGATAAGGAGATTTCAGAAGTTCCTGGATGTCTGCGCCAACCTATTTAAGCATCTCAAAAAGCGAGTTTGAGCCATGGCACCATGGCAATGGTTTCCATGGTACACTTTCTCTAGATCTTGTTGATGTTGACGTTCAAACTTGTCAATGTTGACCATAATTCATACTTGATTGTCATGATATCAATGTTTCATCCTGCATCTTCGCAGTTTGGACCATGCACCTTCGCAGTGTCAATGTTCGACCGTGCTTTCCATAAGGGCCCTGGTTCTTTTGCATAAATATTAATTAAAACAGTAAGATAATTTGAATTAAAACAAACAAAATATGTCATAAACAATAAACACATCAACAATCAAATTAAATAAGACATATAAAAGATTAAGTGCTAAGACCCAACAAATCAGAGTAAAACAAGTCCTAGGTTAAAATTAAGATTAAAATTTTAAAATTTAAATCAGTCGATAAATTAAGCTTACAATAATAGAGGAAATGAATGTATAATACTCTAAACGACAGGATAAAAACATATAAATTAGTAAATGTAAGTTTATACTAAAATGCCAAAATTATTATATTAAAAGGTATGAACAACACATTATAGAGACGAAACATTTACAACGAAAATAAAACAAAGAATTCAAAAAAAAAAAACCACACCTAAAACACCACCCCCAACAAATCCTTAACGTGACATACATATTATGTTAATATAATTGAAAAGATGAATGTAACAAACGACTCTAAAACCAGGTAGAAAAATTAGGGAAATTATTAAAATGTAGCTAATAAAATACCAGTAAAATAATACATAAGAACATCACATTAGCCACAAACATTTACAACAAAAATATAATAAAGACAATTAAAACAATTAAAACGGATAACAAACAATTGAACCAGAAAAATATACTAAAAATGTACTAAAAACAAATTGGGATATCAAGCAATTAAAACATTGAAATCAGTCAGTTAAAGAAGAGATTTAAATTGATGCATTGACTTTGCCTGTCTCTGGGTCGTGGTAGGTTTGTTCCTTCCCAGGTTTCTTAGGTGCTGAAAAGTGCGCCTGGCTGCATTGGTCTTGGAATAGAAGACAGATGTTATGACCCGTTTGACTTGGCACGAGTATTGGCAGAGTGGCATGGTTTATCAAAGCGTGATGTCAGATATGCTAGACTCAGGTTATTCACACATTTATAGACTTCGCACAAACGGTGCTTTTCCCAACGTGTTGGCAAAGGTGACCATGAAAGTGCCCGTGCGTTCTTGGGTGGGCATTAAGAATTAATATGGCCAAACGGTTGTGCAGTTTAATAAGCTTGTCAGAGTGGCAAACTAACTAATCAATAGGGTAATATTGCAATATGACAGTTGTTTAATGTCAATTAGCATTTCATATACTCGGGTTTCAATAGCATATATTCAGGTATTTGATATAACTTCATTTATTATATGTACTTATCCCTATGTTATTTTATCAAAGGGAGCGAGCATTGTAAAATGCTTTTTTTTCTTTCGATAGTTCACTTTCTTTTTTGACTCACTCTGCATTACAATTCTTTATTATTTGATAAGTTATATGTTTCAATCCAATATTCCTATTGATAGATCCCTGTCTGTCCAATCCATGTCAGAATTATGGATCCTGCTCATCTCAGCCTACTCTGACTGGTGTGATGTATTCGTGTCATTGCTTGTCAAGTTTCTTCGGACCCACCTGCGACATAGCAGGTGAGAAACATATTCATGTTGATGAATGTGTACTTGCCTGATTATCCATTGCAATTGGTGATGCAGTCTTTTGTTCCATTATTCTTTGTCAATTCAGGCGAAGTAAAAAAAACAACATGTTTCTCGTCCCCGCCTGCTTCCTTTTTGGAGGCCGCCTGGATTTTTTTTATTATTTTTTATTTTTGAAAAATGCAGTAAAAATAAATTATATACCAATACAAGTCTAAATGACACCGTAAATATGTTCAGTTCTCTTGTCCAACTTATCTTTCATTTAAAAGTGTCTTTGAACAGTGGAAACACCAACGATTGCAGGAAATTTTTAAATGGCGGCCATCTTGAATCAAATAAAAAATAAAAAATAAAAGCCCCGCTTCCTCCTTTTTTTCAAAAACCCGGACGAGAAACGTGTTTTTTTTATTCGGCCTTAAACATATTGTATTTGCTCTACATTTGCTCTTTTCGAGATGATCATACACTAAATTCGCATGTTCCATTGCCCACATGCGCACTCGCGTCCATGCCCGCGTAGAACTACACTGAATTCGGTCTCTGTATGTGGAATTGAGAAGTCAGAAAAATGAACCACGAAGTTTCGTATAATTACGTGAAAGGGTGAGTCAAAAAGAAAGTGACCTGGATTAATCATTATCTCTCTCTTAAAAAGCAGTTGAATTTGACACACCATCGAAGCTTATATTAAACAAGTATGTTCCTCCACTCATTTGAAAAAGGGAATTACTGAAATTCATCCATGGGATGAGAAGTTAAGCTATGCATACTTCACTGAAAGAACCAATTTTTACAGCAGCAGTCAGTGAATGCCATTTTAAACTATTGATCTGAGTGAAAATCAGCGGATTACACACAGGCATTCATTTACAGATGATATTTGTTTAATTTTTGTCAAGACTGAAACGTTATTTTTAATGTCAGATTTTGAGTTGTGAATATGACGGTTTTGTTCTGAATTAATGATGGTGATTTTTGTCTTTTTTCTTGTGCACATTTTCGTTCATTCATGAAGGCCGGAAATCGCCCTTGTTTCATTGTATTTAAACGGTAAATGATCAATGGACAGCTGAATTTTGTTATGTTTGAATTAAAATAGACTTAACTTGTGAACATATTAAGCAAATTACGTGAAATGGTCACAATTACTGGTTAAAAAATATGGACTGAACCCTATGTTATTTTTATCAAATGGAGCGAGCATTTTTTCTTCGATACTTCACTTTCTTTTTTTCACTCACTCTGTATTACAATGCTTTGTTATTTGATAAGTTATATGTTTCACTCTAATATTCTTATTGATAGACCCGTGTCTGTCAGATCCATGTCAGAATGATGGATCCTGCTCATCTCATCCTACTCCGACTGGTGTGACGTATTCGTGCCACTGCTCGTCACCTTTCATCGGACCTACCTGCAACATGGCAGGTGAGAAACCTATTCATTTTGATGAATGTTTGTAGCAAATGAGAATACAAACTACTCGCGTAGAAATTTGAAGGTAATACACACCAATTGCAAACATTCACAAATGCAACTGCCAACCATGCCATATCATAAAACAATCGTTCTTGATTGAAAGAAGAGATTATAGAATCCGGGCAAATAATTGCGCCGGTATATTGTCATGTTTGCTTTTAGAAAAGAGAAAATGTTCACATGATAATTTTCTCGCGATGGTTGGGACCAAACAATGCGCTGTCAACAGAAACCTATGCTTTGCGTCCAAAAAAATGAAGATACACTTTCGCAGTTAAAAAAGGAAGACATTATTCACTTAGCTAAAATTTCGAAAGGTTAGTTTTTTTTTATTAAACTGCTTCAGATTTATCGCATTGTTCCTTTAATCGACAATACATTATTTTTGTGAAAACTGTTTTCATTACCTTTAAAGATATTAGGATGAAGCGCCACCAAGCTTGCAAGCATGTCTTACTGTACTCATTTTGATAAAAAGACCCGTGAAACAGTTCATGCAAGTCTTTTTATTGCCATTTCTGTAGAAGAATGCAAATTGTTATTTTCTTAATCAAAACAGTATAATTGTCATAAAGCTGCATGGCGACATCAATTGCAAATGACAAATTATTTGTAATGTCTACATTTCAGTTAAAATATTTGTAAAAATTGTGGAATTTCTGGAGAAAAAAAAGAAAATCTTCCGCAGGCGAAATCAAACTTGTCTTCCACATCTGCTCTTTTACATATGCAATATTTACTTTGTTTCTCTGTTTAAATTTTAGACCCGTGTCTGTCAAATCCATGTCAGAATAATGGATCCTGCTTACTTGGGACTACTGGTGCTGGTTTGACGTATTGGTGTGTTTGCCCGTCAGATTTCTTCGGACCCACCTGCGACATATCAGGTGGGCAAATCTACATTCATTTTGACGATTGTTTGTGGAAGATAACAATACAGACCTAATCCATTCAGTTACCACAATTTGAAGACATTAACCCTAAAAGGGCTGGGGTGGAATTCGCCCTCCCTCCTCAACTTTTTCGACAATACCTTAACCTGAGCTGTCCTGACTTTTTAGCCTCGATACTTGCGCATCTTTTGATACCAAATACATAAAAACAATTTCCGGCGCTACAAGAATGCAAACTGAAAATGCCCCTGTACACAAAGCAGCATTCCCATTGGCGCATATGAATAATTAATAAGCCATAATTCCAAAATCCTTTGACCTATAATTATGAAATTTCTTGAGTATTTGTATGTTAAATTGTTATATGCATGTACCGAGTCTCATAATTTGTCGTCAGTCGATGGCCAAGTCTTAAGAGGATGGGCGGAATCCGCGACGGCTGTGAGATGGTCAAAATAACCCGGCTCTTAAGGAAGTGCTAGCATGCTTGTTTCCACACTCTGTCTTGATATAAGACCCGTGCACATTTATGATTCATCTTACTTTTACTTCCAATCCTTTTTGGTGGGTGTTTTTGTCCTTTTGAGATTTTATGCTAATTCGCATTGCCATATAGTTCTTAAAGGTAATGACTACCACTTCCACACATTCAAAGACGACACTGCCACAAAACAGTATGAAATATCCCACTTGATTGTAAGTATACAATTATGGTCAATCGTCCTGTGAAATCATTAGTATGCTTTCAAAGGAAAAAATACAGGGTGAGTAAAACAAAACGAAACCCAAATGTCGGGACCATTGTTTTAGTGAAATTCTACATGTATCACTTTCAAAATCTAGGATCGGATATAAAAGCCCAATTCATAAGCTTTTTTTTAGTACAAGAATCATTCAGATCACTCATGTACTTTTGAAGTTACGGAATTTTAAATACAACCACCGTTTTTCAGTTCTGTCTATGGATCACAAAAAAGGTGTGCGTTCTTTCAGCAAAACGAAAACCATTCATATACATCTCTATGTGATTTGTTTTCGCTTTGCTGAAAGAACACTTGCCTTTTTTGCGATCCGCGGAACTTTAAAACGTAGGTTGTCTTTAAAATTCCGGAACTTAAAAAGTACATTAGTGATTCGAATGATTCTTGTACTAAAAGAAAACTTATGAATTGGGCTTTGTTACAACTGATAATGTAGTAACCAACGGATAACGTATCACCAACCGATAATGTATCACAAATTGACCGATATTGTATCACTAACCGATAATGTAGCAAAAATTGACCGATAGTGTAGTAAAATTTGTATCCGATAATGTATCACGTGTCGACGGATAATGTAACTACAAAATAACTGTATCCGATAATGTATCACCTCGGAACGGATACCGTATCAACCGATAATGTATCAAAAATCAACCGATAATGTATCAGTATATTTGGAAAAGGTGGAAATATTGCAAATTAATTAAAGTCTAATAAGTGCCTTTACTATGATGAGTTCCCACTCGGGAAAGTTTATCATTAAGAATTTTTTTTTTAATTTGGGAGGGAGTTGCTCTGGTTTGGAGACGCTCTACTTCCAAGTGGGCCTAGACTAGTGGTGTACCAAGCTTTTGATGTCGGGTGGGGGGGGGGGGGGGGTAACCGCACTCGCACATCCGCGCCGAACTTAATGTGGACAAGTTCTTTTCTCCGGACACTTGGCCTCCGTATGGGCTCCGTGCTCTAACACAAGAGGGCGCGTTTTACCACTTTTGAGAGTACCATGGACGGGACATAGCATGTGCGTACTGTAATGTACTGGTTCGCGCTCAAAGTTAACCACTTCCAGAATGTGCCAACCGGGCTATTAGCCGCAGCGTCTTCGCATGATCGTCAGGCAACGTCGGCTCGCATACATTCAATTTAACTTGCGATGGTATCCCAGACTATTCCCTTCCCTAATTCAAAATACGCAGTCGATGGACCGGGAACCAGTCTAGGTCCTCCCCCAACTCTCCGTTTCTGGCCGTTGAAGGGGCACTTGTGCACGGAGCCCATAGCTTCATGGTAAAATCAAAAGCTGGGGCGGGGGGGGGGGGGGTGGGGTGGGGGGGGGGGGCTCGTGCCATATTTTCAACGGGGAGCGCTGATAAAATCCTACAATCATGTATACACTATATTACTGTACCGTACAAATGCACCGGCTTTTGTTTTAAGGGGGGGCACCGTTCGCTTGAGACGTCATTTGTTATTTGTCCACCCACTGACTTCAGTTTGTTGAACCCATACAGTTTGCAGTCCAAACGTCACGAGCCTGCCGCACCTTTGAGGCCAACACAGGCGCGGATCCGGGGGGAGGGGGTTTAGGGGTCAACCCTCCCCCCCCCCCAGCTGTGACCCCCTCCCCAAAAAAAACATACCGGTATAATGTCCGCCTGTTCAAATTACGGACGGAGGCAGCTTAGATAGGGGGTATTTGTACACCATTTTGTAATCCAGTGTTAATAATCGTCGAATTTGAACAGCGCCGCCTATTGAAATATGGTACCCTCCAGTTTTTGATTTTACGGAGGCCAAGTGTCCGGAGAAAAAAAACCTGTGTATATATTCAGATTTTTTTGCTGATGTAACCCCCTCCCCCTGCGAAAATTCCTGGGTCCGTCCTTGCAACAGTGGCGTAAATCTGTGCCGGGGACTGGGGGATGGGGGATAGCTAAAAAAATAAAAAATAAATCCCGGCCGTGAAATTCAAAAAGAGGGGGGGGGGGGGTTGCTGGAGACCACATGACACTGGGGGCGCAGTCCATGATACAGATGTATCAGCGGATTTCAAGCTTTGTGTACTTTTTCTCCCTTTCTCAGTACTATTTAATACATTTCGGCGGTTGGAATGTTTGAAAAATACCTCAAAATCTGCCTTTTTTCTCTAAATACGAAACAATGGGGGGGGGGGTGTGATCCAATAGCCCAGACCCCCTCCCCGGAAAAAAAGTGGGGCGGGATATATAGGACATAAAACAAACATTCGTGTACACCTTTTCCCCATACTGATACTTAATCGGTTGATTTTTGATACTTTATCGGTTGATACAGTATCCGTTCCGAGGTGATACATTATCGGATACAGTTATTTTGTAGTTACATTATCCGTCGACACGTGATACATTATCGGATTCAAATTGTACTACACTATCAGTCAATTTTTGCTACATTATCGGTTAGTGATACAATATCGGTCAATTTGTGATACATTATCGGTTAGTGATACGTTATCCGTTGGTATCAGTTGTAACAGGCTTTCATATCCTAGATTTTGAAAGTGCCACATGCAGAACTTCACTAAAACAATGGTCCCGACATTTGGGTTTCGTTTTTTTGGCTCACCCTGTAGAGCATTTGCCATCATTAAATACCAGCGTTGCCATTTCTGTTAAAGTTTCAGGTCTTTCTCATCTGGTCTGTAACTCGTGTGAATGTTTATTTTCTAAATAAAAACAGTATAATTATCAGTTTAGAAATGGGTTCCCGTCAATTCAATTCAATTCAATTCAATATATTTATTCGTCATGTGAGACACATGAAATTTGTTTTCCTATTGTACAGCAGTAAAATATTTAAAAATACACTCGTTACAAAAAGGTGATACTAAGAACCGACAATATAAATTGCACAGTAAGAAAACAAAACAAATACAAAATATCAAATGAAAAACAGCCTATGGACAACATGTTGAACCCCCCCCCCCATCTAAAACCTTAGTGAAATGGAAGAAACACAATCCAGATGACATACAGGGCACACCAAACAAAAAACAATTTGTTATTCAATCAAAAAATAAACGGATAAAATATTATAACTTGTAATTGACAAGGTATACAAACAAATAAATAAAAACAATAGATTCGTATACATTTAAAAATACATTTAAAAATATTTGCACAAATCAGAAAAACAGCCCAGAGCTACATGCTACTTTTGAACAGTAGCATTCCCCCACCAACTAAACAGTACACTAGAAGCGACCTTGGCTAAAAACTAGGTGGAAACAGAAAACCAGGTGCCGTACAGGGCATAATACCCATTTATCTACATAAAACCCATCTATCGTCATAAAGCTACATGGATGGCCACAAAAGTTGTCATTTTACTTTCTATATAGTTTCTACTGACTAAGAACATCTCCGATACAGTTCTTTAAAATTGTAGAATTTCTGCAGACATTGAAATATCTTTAAAAACAAAATCTTCCGCATAAGATTTGTTCTTTTACATATGCAATGTTTAATTTGTTTCTCTTTTTTATTTTCAGACCCGTGTCTGTCAAGTCCATGTCAGAATAATGGATCCTGCTCATCTGTTCGTACTGAGACCAGTGTGAAGTATTCGTGCATTTGTCCGTTATATTTCTTCGGGGCTACCTGCAACATATCAGGTTAGCAAACCATTCATTTGGACAGAGTTTGTGGAAGATAAAAATACAGACTAAACTTAGTCCATTCAGTTACCACAGTTTGAAGTGCTACCACGCGTACGCTTGTGTCCAAACTCCGTCTTGATAAAAGACACCATGCACATTTATCTTACTTTCAGAGTTGTAACGAGTCACTGTATTTACTATTTTGTGACTCGATTCGAGTCGAGTCATTTAAAGGAAGTGATTCGAGTCATTATGTCATAAGGTCGAGTCGAGTCGAGTCGCAGTGTGAAACACCGTCTAGTAAATTAGAAAATGGAATAAGAATTCAAGGCATCAGTATGAAATCCAAAGAACTAAATATGCTGCGTAGCACCGAATTGACAGTTTCAGCGGGAAGATGTACGTAAACAGTAACAAGAAGTGAAACTTCGGTTTAGTCTCATGGTCCGGTGAACAACAAATTTAATAATGAAAAAGGACTGAATTCCTAATTAATTCGAGAAAATCTACCCCAAAAAACCATATCCTTTCTACCTTAGAATTACCAGCGTCTTGCGGAGCCTACATGGAGTCTGGTCGATCTCATGGCAGCGGGTACTACACGATCCAAGTTGGATGCGCAGGGAACAAACAGCTGACTGTCTGTAAGTACAAGTAGTAACCCGTCAAGCTACAATGAACTTTAAGAGCAAATTCCAAAATTTGACCATTCAGCTTTGTCGGTGGCGCACCCAGGATTTTTTTTGGGGGGGGGGGGCTCACAATTGTTTTTCAAATGTTTCATTAGTTGTTGTTTTTTCAAAAACGTTGCCCAAAATTATTGGCTGCAGAAAAAAATTGGGTTATTTTTTGAGGGGCGGACTAGTTTGATGTTGGTGGCGTCACTTACACCCCTGTTATACTACTCGAAAATAGGCCACATACATAATTATCACCAAGGTCAAATCGTGGGGCTAAAAAAAAACCCAAGACAAAAAGAATTGACTACCTTTTGGGGGGCTCCAGCCCCCCGAGCCCCCCCCCCCCCCGCCCCCGGTGCGCCACTGAGCTTTGAGTCAACTAAAATACAGCTGTTACAATTGTCCTGTTTACAATTCGGGCGATTCACAATGCAGTGCGCCATCAAGAGTTTGCCATGGAGAGTTCATTTTTCAAGTTTACGGTCGACAAAACATGGCCATTTGAACGAGTGTCAGTAGAAAACTTTAGCTACTTTGTTATAGATTGGGGCACTAGGTAGCGTTCTGCCGCCTTACAAAAAACTCCATAATCCATATTGATAAAAAGAAAAGAAAAGGGCAAACCATGATTACATTCGAATCATACTTTTACAAACTTTCTGGCCGGAAAAACTAATAATTTCAAATGTCCCGCGCTGCAAATTTGTCGACCATCTCCCACAATGCACTGGGGAAAATGAACTCTCCGTGGCAAACTCTTGGTGGCGCACTGCATTGTGAATCGCCCGAATTGATGGATCACTCGTGGTACATTGGAAAGACTCACAATAACATTTGAATTCAATATGGCGTATGGAGAATTTACAAGGAATATCTGCTGTGTCTATCTTGTTTTTAGCTAGCTATCGCTTATTTTCCCCAAAAAATATTATGTTGGTATAGAGGTGGCTAATGTTTCGTTCTCAATTCCAGATTGCGATCAACATTCCAATGGCGGAGGATGGATGAGGTAAGTGAGGAAAACTTCAAACTTGTTTTCCATTTTAAATTGTATACTAAAGATGTACAATGTTTAAATAGCCGTGCAATTTAGTGCGCAATGTTTAGTTCTAAAAATGATGCACAAGTAATTGGCTGTTGATTTTGCAAAATGTTAACATCAAATACTCCATACGTATTTGACTGAAGGTTTTATCAGAAGACTGGTCCGAGCAATTGCTCGGGTTACAACTTCACTTGGACCGGAGAGCTGATCACATGTATGGGGCTCGACACCGATATCACTGGGTTTGCAGTGAGTGATGACGTCACCACCGTCAACACCGACAACTCGTGGATCCTGAGGGATAGTTCTGGGCCCTCTGGTTCCCAACCACTGACACTCCCTGCCGCTGCCGTCCTCGCCAAATTGGCCAATTGCAAAACCCCAACAGGAGTCGATTGGTCTCAGGATTACCACGGTAACGCGCACTGAAAGAAATGCCTGGGTAACATTTCGTTTAGCCCAAATGGGTTAAAATTTTACCCAAGTTTAGGGTGAAAAATGCAGCTACCCAAAATCGGGTTGTGCCTTTACCAAATTAATTAGTTAGTTAGTAAGAACTTGTGGTTTAATTTAACCAAAACTTGGATTATTACGATTACCACATTTAGTTATACCGTCTAAGAGAGTTGGTGTATGAGGCTACGCATGGGTTGTTTTTACTTAGAACTTTGGCTCATTTTAACCCCAAGCTTGGGTTATGATTCACCTCACGGAATTTACATCTTCCCGACGCAATTCTTATGTATAGTTTGGTAGGGGGTCTACCCGATGTTGCCCAATACTAGTATGTTCCCCAATATCGATGTTGCCCGAAATCCTTATGATAAGGGTTAGGGTAAGTTTAAGGGTTAGGGTTATATGGTAAGGATTTCGGGGAACATCGGTATTGGGGAACATAGGTATACACCTGTTTGGTTGCAGTACCCGCTGCTATATGAGATTCGAACCAGCCAACCGACTCCGGCAAGCTCGGTGGCCAAGTGGTCAGTCGTCTCCACTAATAGGTCGTGGGTCCGAATCCCACCCAATTATTGTTTTTCTGCCCACGATCACTCGGGACAGCACTGAGTATACAGGGCTCATAAAAGACTCTCGGTGAAGGGCGAAACCCAATACTGAAATAGTCATTTTCTTGATGTAACAGTGACCATGAGGCACAGAATTAATGATATTGGAAAGCGTTTGGTAAAGAGCTACTGAAAAATTACCTGGGTTAATTTTACCCAAGAAAGGGTGACAACTGCAACTACCCAAAATTGGGTTGTTCTATAACCAATTGTTTGGGGTTAGAATTTCAGTTAAATTCAACCAAAAGTTGTGGGTCACACAATACTAAATTTAAGTGGGTCTTGTATGACCACAAGTTTTGGTTGAATTTAACAGAAATACTAACCCAAACAATTGGTTATAGAACAACCCAAGTTTGGGTAGTTGCAGTTTTCACCCTTTCTTGGGTAAAATTAACCCAGGCAATTTTTCAAACGCCTCCCATACTTGCACAATTCAAATAAATTCTGAATCTGATTGGCCCAAATGGCTAACCAGTTTCAGGGTCATAGTTCAAGATGTAACTGGTGTCCGAAAACGGAATCGATGTCTAAAAACCTTGATACTTTCTTCATTTTGATAACATTAATGATAATAATAACTTTTAAGTGGTGCACTGCCCTGTGTGTACTTGGTACATGTAGTAAATATTTCAGTATTGGATTTTGCCCTTCACCGACGGATTTTTATGAAACCTGTTATACTCTAACTATGCTTGGCTTGTTTTTCTTCCATACCCATGATGCATCGAGAATGTTTATTATGTTTGCGTATTTCGTACGTAGTTATATAGGCTAAACTTTAGAAATCAAACGATTGCTTTTCATTTATCAAGATGGATACGCGAAATTCCGGGGCGCACTCGGAACAAATGGTAACTGGACGAGAATGTATACAGGATGCTATGACAACGTAGACATCGGCGACCAATTCACATTCCACATCGGTGGAGGGTCTAGTCAAACCGGCGAATTCATCAATGTGGGATGCAACACCTACGGGAACAAGTACGAGCCAGTGTCTCATAACAGGCTCACTTCTCTTTGGTAAGTCTGCCGTATAGTCCAGTGGATATATAAGCACGATATGTTTCACACAGACATTTCTATTTATGAAACAGATATGCTCATTTTATTGAGCCATCGCAACTCGCCCTTTCAGAGGCGTGGCAGCACTTTTGAAAAATGGGGGTTACTCCGTGTGACCATCGGTAACCTATTATTATGTGACATCATTTGGTAGCACTACGACTTCCACGCACACGAGTGCACATTACCAATGTTGTACCTGTTTTTGGTCAAAATGCTATTTGTGGAATAATATGTCCCACTGCAGCCATGCATTTTAACAAAAACCTGTAGGCCTACCTGCCTATGCTGTTTGTTCCATTGTGTGTTTCTGGATTCAAAACGCTGCGTCATACAGCCATATGTAATACACCAACACTGACTTTCGCCAAACTTTTATTTCATTAAATAACACCCTCATTATGACCGTCCCCTTGTGCGTTCGATGCGCCCACAGTGCGCTCAAATTATGGTTAGAAAACTTCAGAAAAGGACTTTTATAGACATCTCACAAAAATAATTTGGGTAAAAAAGTTGACAAATTTCATGCCAATCAGCTACAGCGTTCCCGAGTAGGTGGGGCATACTGTGATAGGCCAACTATAAGTTTTCCCAGTTACTTTAACACTTATACAAGTACTATTCAAATTCCATCCAACCTCAGGCTCGCGGCGCGGCAGGGCCCGGATGGCAAAAGTTGTTTCATGGTTGAAGGGCTGATTGCCACAGTTTACACACATCGGCCTACATACATTCAAATTCCATGAAAAGATACCGTAATTTCGTTCCAGAACGCCAATGGGATCCATTGTTTATTTAGATTTAAAATTTACACCTAAAGATTTCATATTTTGGTCCAGCGTAATTCGCGAATCTAGCGTTCTCATTCGTCGTTGTTTCGGGAAATTCGTCTCATGCGGAGATTGGCGTTGAATTGAAGAAGCACATTCGCTTTTCATCATTTACTGAAATGCTTGGGTCATTCAATTTCGTTAGTGACAAGCTCAAAGCGTCTCTCAATAAGCCACCTTATCACCTAGTCATATAACCATGGGAATGTTTATTCCGATATTGAGCAAAGAGACTGACCGACGAATTAACTAACACCCATCAAGCTAAAACTGTGTATCACTGACGAAATAATAACATCGCTCTTTTGTCATTTCAGGATCTCGGACAATGTGCGTGCTATCTGGATCATGACAAAGCATCTGACGACTGCAGAAGGAAATACGCCGTAGTACATTGTATAACGTGGACCCAACGTTGTTGCACCTTATGCAGTTTAGATGTATCGTTTCGGTTTGCGGTAACACCACGTGGTAATAACTACTGCTTAGAAGATATTTAGTTCTGAAAAGAACTTGTCCTGCTTATTATCAACTTTTGCTAAGTAGTTTTTTTTTGTTCTGATAAGAACAGTCCTGCTTTAAGTTCTAAAAGAACTTTGGTCTCGGATTAGATGTGTTGAGCTATGCAGCTATCGGATGGCAAAACAGCCTATAACTGGAAAATTTGAGCTTTTGAGACAATGACCACTTCTGAGAATTTTAAGGGCGCTCTTTTGTTTCTGAAAGTTTTAACGCCACGGGGCGTATGGTTTTGCAGATAGCATGAACTATCTCACATTCTTTTTGAAATTTTACCTTATAAGATCTTTACTTGAGTTAGGTCATGCACGCGTCTGTGGTTTTTATGACGAAACTGCCCTAACTCTCAATTAAATAGTTCGCTGACTTGAAGATGGGTTGTTTTTCCCACAAAATCCATAGCGAAGAAGATCAGTGCATTTTTGTGCATGCTACGAGTTAGGCCTTCACTCATAACAGTTAAGTCTAACTAAAGATAGACTGCTTTGCCAACAAAGTATTAGAGTTTAGTGCTTGATATAATTATTTCGTGTCAAAGGATTTTAATTCACAGACATGATTAGGCCTTAATTTCCAAAATCTTCAACCCACTTACATACTCCAAACTTGGAAAAATAAGTATCAAAACAATTCCTACATTCATGCATTCAGTTCCAACCCAATCATATCTCACATTATGTTTTGTACATCGTAACATTCGCACTTGCCGAAAAGTGTGCTGCGAAAATAACTATACGCAATGAAAATGCGACTTTAGTAATTAAGAGGTAACTGCGAGGTATACGTCTCTCATACTTACACAATTCCTAATGGTCCCTTGCAGTCCCTAATGACGCGCTCCGTTCACAAATACCCCCTCACCGGCAAAGAAAGTACAGTTGGGGGTGACCGTCGACCGACGCCATCTTGCCTGACTTCAATTTTGCCGAGAAGCGCGGCCACTGCGTGTACATAGAACAAATCCCCTGGTGTACGTGCGTCACACACAAGAAACGGTGCGCGTCAACCAGCGAAATGTCCCGCCCATGGGACGTCGTTGCTAGGTAAAAGGGCGCCCTCTTTTTTGGCGCACGGAGCCCATGGCGCAGTGAAAGGATGCTCAATGAGACTATTGTCCCAGCTAATTTTGAGTTTCATCCCGATTTTTGTCAATGTGCTATTTTTCTTGCAACAACAAAATTGTCTACTTTTGGGTGAGACATCGAACGAAAACAGTCGGCCCGTGTTTCGTTATGGAAACATAACATTAACTATTCCGAGTTGTTTGCAGCTTGACCTCAATTGAGTCCTCGAATGTAGACTTGTTCCCGCCCTATCAGTATTTACAATGAATAGACCTGAGAACCAGTCTACACATAGGACGGCTCTGTTTGTGCGCAGAAGCAATTGAACAATTTTTATTAAAAGCCTTTTTGGGGGGGGGGAGGGTTTCGTACGCCCGAATAGTACGTTTTCTTTTTGTTTTAATATTAAACCGTATGTAGTAAACAAGTTGCAATTCGAATTTGTCGAAGAGCTTACAGTTATCTTTAAAATTAGTTTTACTGTATAACTGTTGTAAACTTAGTTAGCGTGATGTTTTTCAGATTTTACTGACTCAACGGATGAGGATGAAGATGACGGGTTTTGTTATTGGCAGAATTGTATTCAGAAGTGCATTTGATCAATATGACAGTGCTCAGTATATAGGATCCTTTGCATTTTGTGCATTTTTTTTTATCACCACCCACAAATCCAGAGACGAATGTTCAAAACCCAAGTTGTTGAAGTTTCAGCTCGGTGGACATTACACTTGTCGAGAAAACAAGTAATGAAACATCCACAACCTTTTGCCTTTCGAGCAACATTTACAATAGCACTCGATATTTCCATAAAATCAATCAATTAACCGATCGTTCAAAATCGCCTACATTATTGATTTCTTCTGAATGACATAAGTCAGACGGAATGATTTCACGGGGTGTTTAGTACCAGTTAATCCAAAATGATTATGATTATGAAAAAGGCAGTATACCACGCGATATGATTTAACAGGATGCTTGAGACTATTATTTATACTCAGAGTCAAGTGAAGCATTTCATCATAATTTGATAGTTTCGTGTTTTAATGTTTGCAAATGTTGTACATTGCCTTTAAGATAATAAGAATACTTAGATAATTAGTCGCCTTTATGAAGTGCTTTTATCAAAATGGCATGATTATTTACATTAAATCCAGTTAGTATATAACCAATTGTTTCACTCTGTAAGATATGATATGGCACTACTATACGTCAGTTGCAATTTTTACTAAACAATGTTTGTGTCTAATCCAATTATTTCTTTTGGCGATGGCTGGAGATGTTGAAGAATAATTCATTATAAATTAGGCCTAATTATTGGGACTACGAAGCAGGGCCTTTGCAAGTTGGCCAGTGCCTTTAATCCAAGTAAGCTTCGATTTTGATAATAATTTGGCAGGTTACTTCGGGGATAAATGCAAATGAAATGGGCTTTAAGTTAAAAATTGTAAATAAACCTTACGCCTTCAGGCGGATCAGAGGACGATGGTTTTGTATCGCTGGGATAGGCACGAGTAAAGTTTTGTGCATTCATTGTAACGAAATTAAAGTAACAAAAAATTACTCCCTCTGAGATACTTGCAACGCATAAGGTACTTAGTTATTGTTTTATATTTTACAAATTGGTGGCACTAAAAAGTAATAAAAAGCACTTTCTTTTGCTGCACTTTCTTTTGCTGGACCTCATTTGGACGCCGTACCATTGTACCCCGTTTCTGTTTACTTTTTTTGTGTGTTAATGTTACACGAATCCATGTAGAGAAAGGGATGAGTACACTATACACCATCGATTTTAAAACTCTCGTTTCACTACTCGTGTTCTTGAAAATTATGTTTAAAAAATTGCATCATTTGGGGGATGGGAAAGGAGGCATATGGGCCCCAACAGCTCGGTCAAATGTGGAGGGGCGGGGCAAGATAGCTATGTACCTTTTCTAAGTGGGGCATCGGCCGCCATGGCCCGCACATGTTTACGTTACATAGTTTGGACATTCTTTGGTTTTCGTGTAGTCAAGAAAAACCTGTGAAAAAAAACTCAATTTACTCACACTGTGAAAACTCTTTCAACCCATTTTTTCTGATTCCCTTTAGTGTTTCTCTTTTTTCTAACACTGTTAAACCTTACCCCAGAATGCCTCTAAACTTGTTTTTCAGAGAGGGGGAAACACTGTGTGGACGTGGGCAAGTCCACACAGCGTCTCTGCTACCTGGTTTATGTGGACCTCTTTTGTTTGGGAGTCCACGCTCTTTATAAGTGCACTTATTTATAAATTGATATTAAATTTAATTTCAAAGGTTAAGAAAGAAAGTGAAAATTGTTAAAATTTAATAATATATGAACAATAAAAAGTGAGGTCCATAACCGGAAAATGTTTTTTTTATAATCAACAGTTAAAGACAAAGCACATCTCAAAAAAGAAACTGATTAATATAAATAATTATTAAGTCCTAAGGATATTTAAAATTTTACTAAGGAAAGTGCAAAATTACTGAAATTCAATAAGACATGAGCTATTGTGTTAATCACACCTACATTCAGGGGCAGCGGAACGCTTTTCAAACTGGGGGTAACAACAAAAAGGGACCCTTGCTCAGAAAAAGGGTCACCTTCCGTCGGTGTGAAAGTGGAGGGAAAGAGCATGGTCCCGTTCACTTTGCTAGAAACCTTTATGACGAGGAACAAATTATGAATACGTTGTCCATCTTGCTCTTTGTGTTTCTTTTACCTAGCTATGTAGAGAGACCATTTTTATTTGTATCGTATCGCGAGGGGCACTGTTGCTTTTGATGGCAAGTTCAGTGACCATTATATTCGTGTGAAGAACGCTATTTTTTGAGGGGCCAGTTTCCCATCTTGAGAGGGGGCACAATTTTAAAGTTGCAAGCGGGGCACTAATTTTGCTTTCGAGGGGCAGTTTTCCATCTCGAGAAGTTATCGGAAAGGAGTTCTATTGTTTTTGATAGCCAATTTTCCATCTCGAGAGAGGTACAATTTTATTATTGCGAGATGGATATCTGCCCTTTCGAGTGGTAGTTTTCCATCTGGGGAAGGGGACAATCTTGTTAATGCGAGAGGGGTACTTTTGTTTTTGAGGAGCAGGTTTCCATTACAAGAGAGAAGACAATTGTATTTGTAGCGCAATCATATGCTTTCATAAATTGACCGAAAGTCCACGATTTAAATTCTTGTGCAAAACCAATGTGGGCTGTTGTTAAAAAGTTAGAATACAAACAAAGGAATGAGGATTAGGGACAACGATTAGGGAGTCCACGATTGCCGGTGTTAACAAAGATGTGTGTGTTTGAGGGGCAGTTTTGTTTTCGTCTCGAGGGGCACATTTATAACCGCGAGAGGGGCACTTTTGTTGGCCTGGGAAAATCTGAGGAGGGACAGGGGAAAGTGCCCCCCACCCCGCCCCCTGGTTCCGCTGCCCCTGCCTTCATTAAATTTCCAACAAATATTTTTCTAAACATAGACCAATCATCAAGCTCTGCCCACCACGCATGTGGTCAAAAAAACCTATTACAAACCCCAGACCCATCATTAAGCTCCACCCATCACGCACGTGGTCAAAAGCAGGTGAAATATGCTCTAATACATACCACACTCCGCGTTCCAGCCGTGGGCGCGCGTCATTTGCAAGTGCACACATGTCGGGCAGTATTTTGTGCATGCATGTCGGACATTCACGGCTGCTATTGGCCAATACATCATTGGGCGGGGCTTAGTAGGTTGGTCTATCCACCGGTAAGGTTTAACTTGCGTATAGAGTATTTCAATTTGGCACTGAAACCGAGGGCCTCAGTTCTGAGAGGTTTTTTTTTTTTAAGGGTCTTCATTTCATACAATGGCTATTTTGAATTCGTCTGTTGTGTCGCCTCGGTCTTGATCCAAATCTCGTCCACATCGTCCCAATCCCTGACAAGAAAATGGAGTAAAACATTTTGTTTTTTAATTTTAACCACGCCATTATACGTACGCAAAAAGAAGGAAAACACATCTGGATCAAATAAAATACTGCTAAAGTGTGACGTCATCCCTCTGCAAGCAGGCTCATAGCCTAGACAGTCCTAGGTTAACGAGCATTGTAACACACAACTTCTCGGACAATAATTTCACATTCTACATTTTATATTTACGAAAGCGCGTCTGTGTCCGCCACACGTCACCGTGTAAAGGTTGAAATTTTTCACGAGTTGGCCATTTTGTCGAGTTCCCTGAATGTATTTCATTAATTGTTAACTGTTGAATGGGATGGCGCCAGATTTTTTATGCAGTCATCATGCAGCCTTATTTACTGTCAGTTTTTTTTTTTTAATCTGGCTTTAAACATTAGGGAATGTTTAATGACAAATTTTAAATTATTCATTGAAGCAGACAGGAATTGATTAGATATTAACTTGGTTTCATTTCTCTTCGCAAGTTCCAAAAATTACGGTTTCACCTCACTTTTAATTCAATATGGCCGACTCATGAACATGGCCCATATTCGCTCTTTTCACTCTCCGCCATCAGCATGCAGAGCCTCGATCTGGCAACTTTACATAATAAAAAGAGCCGCTTTAGTGATTCCCGTGTATACACGGGAATCACCGAACCCTGACACTGGAATCACTTAACCGATTAGATTTATTGTGTAAGGTTGCCCGATCGAGGCTGTGCATGCTTATGGCGGAAGCGTGAAAAGAGCGAATTAGGTTTTGATGATGGGCATTTTTGCAGTTGAAGATGACTATCATGTGCTCACCATTGTAAGACGACGATCCAGTTACCGTCTTCATTTAGACACGACAAAGTGTAAGTACCCTGGACGTCAGAAACGTACTCCTCGTCAAAGATAAGGGACATCCTCATCCTAGCAGTGGAGCTGCATCCTCCAAGCATGGCCCCTGAGTCTCCGATTGAAGGAAGGACGCCCTCAAACAACACATAACCACCTTGGAGAGGTACAATTATAATTTGATGTTAATGAAAAGTGTGTATGCAACTGGTTCTTATGACGTGTACATTGTATTTACAACATTTTCATTAGAAATAAAAAAAAAAATGGGTTTTAAGTTGGTTTGTTTTTGTGCATGGGAGAAGTATTTGGGGAAAAAACAAGCAAATGACGAATGGATTACCCAATCAGATAATATGTGAATCGGGTGCATGGCTGGGCAAAGAAGAATTGACGCAGAGATCTGCAGAGATTAAGTCAAGTCTTCCAAATTTCTCACAAGTCAATTGCAAGTTGCAAACTTATAAAACAAAATGTGACACGGCATTCCTATGTCAATATCCGTACCATTCACTATTACTGTTGACCTTATGATCTTGGCTTGTAACTCTTCGACTGATTTGTGATTCGAATCATTGATTCGACTTGAATACATCTCTTAGTGAATTGGCTAATATGCTCTGACATACCCGTGTATTTCTGTCTCCAGTCAGCACCAGATGGCGTTTTGCAATTGGCCAGATTGGCGATGACGTCAGCCTCGGGAATTGCCGGATCCTTTAATAGCCCCTCGTCGGAAACCCACAAGGTTCGGTTTGCTGACGAGGCTCGGGTCATTGCAACCCCAACAATGTTGGAGTCTAACCCAAGGCAGCGGATCAGATCGGTAGTCCAGGTTAGGTCATCGGACGAGGAACAAGCCCGAGGCTTAGTAAAGAGTCTGGAAGTACAAGCAAAACAGGGTCTGGTATTGGTATGTTTGCTGATGTGCCGGAACTAACTGATTCAAATTTCCACTCTTTCTATTAAAGGGAGCCCTCAGTAGTTCTGTGAATAAGATAGTGAAATATTCATTTCTTCCAGGCCTGTTCAACATCATGTTGCACTTACAGTTTTGCACGAGGTAAGCTTTCATCAAACAAACCTACGTAAAAAGTACATACATTTTATTATTATATCACCGTATCAAAGGGTTTGGGTATGGACCCCTTTACGGCACCACCTTCCATAAAAAGTTTGCTGCCACCAAGAGTTCAACTGACCTTGTAGTAATTGACTGATCGATCTGGCCGGCTCCGCCCCATTGTGTACATGGTCAGCAAGAGGCGCGCTTATTATCCGATGCCACGCTGCATGTTACAAACGTGTGAGTACACCACCTTTTTGTTGGACATTAATCACGGCTCTGCTGATTGGTCAAGAGTTCATTGGCGGGGCTTAACCCTAAAGGGGCCGGGGGGCGGAATCCGCCCCCCCCCCCTCAACATTTTCCGCGATAGCTTCTAAAATAAATTTTTTCGCAACCCGAGCTGTTATGACTTTTTAGCCTCGAGCTTTGCGCATCTTTTGATACCAAAAACATAAAAATCGGACCACGGGTTGGCACGTAGCGAAAAATTTTCCGGCGCTACGCGCCGTGAAAACTGAATTTTCGCAGATACGTAGTGTACACCGAGCAGAATTGTCATTCATACATATGAATAATTAATTAGCCATAATTCCAAAACCCTTTGACCTATAGTCATGAAATTTCTTGGGCATGTTTAGGAAGAGTTGCTCTATGCATGTGCTGAGTTTCAAAATTTTTCGTCACTCGATGGCCGAGATCTTAGGGGGGGGGCGGAATCCGCCCCCCCCCCGGCTGAGAGATGGTCAAAATAACCCGGCCCCTTTAGGGTTAATAGATTGGTCTTTTTCTAATGTGATAACTTGAGGGCCACATTTCATGGAAATGTATGAGAAAATGTTGCTCAGCAAATTTACGTGTTTAGCAAAAAAATCCGCTTAAAACCAGCTCCAAACAATTATATATTCAACGAAATTTTGGCAGCTACTCGGTTTTGCTAAGAAAACATTACCAGCACTTTCATGAAATGGGTCCCCGTACTTCATGCTTTATTGTATAGGCAGAACGTTGTCTTACCTCATCCATCCGCCGCCGTTCGATTCCTGGTCACAGTCTGCAGGGATTTAAAGATCATTACTTGCTATTGAGGCAATGCATAATTATTTTATTTCTTTCTGGTAATGAGACTAACCTGGACCTGCTTGGTGTACACTCCTGGTGAAATTCAGTTTTTTGCGCGCCAAAATAAATGTCGCTAAGCGGTAACCCATGGTCGGAATTTTGTATTTTTACAAGGGTATCGCGGAAAAGGTTGAGTGGCGGATTCCGCTCCGGCCCTTTTAGGGTTAACCCTAAAAGGGCCGGGGGCGGAATCCGCCCCCCCCCCTCAACTTTTTCCGCGATAGCCTTGAATTTGTTTTTTTTTGCGACCCCAGCTGTTATGACTTTTTGGCCTCGAGCCTTGCGCATCTTTTGATACGCGCCGTGAAAACTGAAAATTCCCACATACGTCGTGTACACAGAGCAGAATTACCATTTGTACATATGAATAATTAATTAGCCATTATTCCAAAACCCTTCGACCTATAGTCATGAAATTTCTTGGGTAGGTTTATGATGAGTTGTTCTATGCATGTACCGAGTTTCAAGTTTTTTCGTCACAAGATGGCCGAGATCTTGGCGGAATCCGCCCCCCCCCCCCCCGGCTGAGAGATGGTCAAAATAACCTGACCCTTTTAGGGGTAAAGCTGTGTTAATTTCTCATCAAATGAAGTTCAACTTACAAACATCCATAGGACCGGCCAATGTGGCTGTACAGTGCGGTTTGATTTTGTAGTTTCCACTTCCAAACGACACGCTTGTCGCGATGTAGGCTTGGCAGGAGGCTAATGCGTCTTCGACTAGAAAACGAAAGTCCACATTAATGGCAACTTGATAAAGGCATAAATCAGACGAGCGTTGTATATAGCAACTTGTCACTAATCCCTAATGCGAGTAACACGTCGCCAAATCTAAATTAAAATAGATTGTACTTAACATATATGTCACAATTGTTACCCTCATAATATCTGAATAATAAACTGACTGATATTGAGGTATCAAACTGGAAGGTAACAAAACTAACATAGGTTTTCCCAGCTATTTTGAAACGTTTATCATTCAAATTCACAGATTCTACTATTCAAATTCGTGCAGGAACATCGATTTAGTGCACTTCCAATGTTTAATTTCGTCTTTTGTCGGACAATTTCAAATTCAGTTCAAGCAAATTCAAACAATGAGCACACGTTTTTGTCACGGAGTATTCGATTTCGTCTCGTCTACGCTAGACCTTGTTATTCAGAAATTAAATTCGTCTAATTGATTGATATAAGATGAATTCGATCTCTGAATGCTGCCATTTGGCAACAGCTTAGACGAATTTGATCCTTAATGACGAATACTTTCAACCAGGTGACTAGACAGAGTGACCACACTTTAAAATTGAATGATAAATGAAATCGGTTTTGGAAAAAAAGCTTGTGAAATATTTCTTGGACAAAATTGAATGTTAGAGTTGGTGAATTTGAATGGAAATCTTTTAAAATAGCCGGGAAAACCGATAATAACAGTCTCCTGCATATCAAGAAGAAATAAGTGATTTTCTTCTTTAAATTGTCTCACCTTTTAAGGTACAGCGAGGACCATAGTATTCAGTTGAACAAATGCACGTAAAGTCTAGCCCCGATGCTAATGAGTTGCAGACTCCATTGTGTAAGCATGGAATGGATAGACATGGGTCTAAATAATTGGGATGAAAATAAAATGTACCTTTACACATTGATGGTTCAAGTTATAATGTATTGTTAAAGTTCTTAATAAAAACAATCTCATACAGACACTCACGATTTCATCCCTACAAAACGCATCTTGTCTTAACTAGACTTATTATAACAAGACTTAGACTAAACATGTAGCCTTCGTATAACTTCACCTCACACTCCGAATTGTGCGGAGCCGTAGCCAGCGGGGCGGCGTTGGTGGTGGGGAGGGGGAGGCATTTATCACCCCCACTATTTATAACGAGTGTCCTTTTTTTCACGAGTGCCCATTTTTTTCACAAGCGCCCTTTTTCACGAAGGCCTTTTTTTGGTCGTTGCGCGACTATAAGTCGGCTATAAGCGCGACTATAAGTCGGCTATAAGTCGGCTATTGCGCGACTATAAGTCGGCTATATTAAAGCCAATTCGGTATCCCAACTGCGCGCATGTGCACATCAAGATTTGACGATTTTTCTTTCGGGATAAACGTTTCATCGTATGCGCGCAATGGCATAGCGGGGTACCAGCAAAATTGAAGAGATCTTCGTGTTCTGAAGGTACAATTTGCCAAAAAAAACCTGTTTGGACAGCGAAGTGTTTTCAGGTGTCTTGTGTCCAAACTTGTGTGCTCACGAAAGTTTCCATCTCTTTTCGATTGCACGAAAAATTTCACAGAATGCAGATTCATTTATACCGAAGTGGCTTATTGTCCCGCCATAAAAGCGCCACCTATTTTTCGATGGTGCACAAGAGTACGCTTTAAACGGTGCTCCAATGAAAGATGGTGTCCAGCCCCAGAGCCCCTCCCCCTTTTAATTTTTTTTTTTTACCGTACGGAGGCTGGGCGACCGGTGTAAAAAACTGTCTACCTTTTAGCTCGGATGAGGCGACTGCCCTTTTTCGCGTCTATTACCCCCCCCCCCCCCCCCCAAATGTCTTTGCTACGCCACTATTGTGAAAGACTGCACTTTGACACTGATGTTCAAAGTAATTATGTTTGAAATTTTATGAGAAACCAAAGGACAAAACTGTAATTTGCTTACCAGGTATTTGACATTCTGGACCGTAATACTCGGGCAAGCAGTCGCAAGTGTAACCGTCAGGACCAGTCGAAGTACATGTGCCGCCATGCAAACACGGTTGTAATGATAAACAAAATCCTGAGTGAAAGAAACAAACTATTTGTTCGATCAATTAGAAAAAAAATGAATTCGCAATTCGAAATCAAGCGTTACGCATACACTTTTGAAATGACTGGGTCCGATTGACCAAGAATCTGAATCCAAACTTGCTCAGTCCTTTTCCGGGTAGAAATGACCCCTTTTCGGGTAAACAAATGACATTCTTTTGGTCATTATGACCCAGAACAGTGTAATTTTGACCCGGAATATTTGGCAAATTTGGATCCATTAGAGTACCTCTGTGGTTTTGTTTTTGTACCTACAGGGAGTCACATGCACACAAAAAACTGAAACCTCAAAGTGTCCTCTTTTTCACAGCTTTGGGAAAAATTTATCGCAAATTTCTACACACATTTAGAGGGTACAGTCCATTAGCTTTTCGACAACGACAAAATTTGTCCTATCGTGTAAATATTTATTGAGTTATGGCCAACTGAAAATATGTCTTGTTTGTCTGCTTGTTTGCTCGTTTGTTCGTCATTGTTCAATATGTAATTAAGTTTTAATTTATTTTTTATGTATATTTATTTATTTTTAATATTTTTTTTCTTGTTTATGTGTTTGTTGCTTGTTTGTTTTTAATCAGTAATGGTTAAGTTTCCTGTTGATTAAGAATGTGCCATGTTTAATTTTAATTTTTATTTAAATTTATACATATATATGAATTTTTATACATTGTTATGATACCTGTGAATGGCGGGTCTCCGCTGTTGGTTATCAAATAAAATGAAAAATGTCATTTACAACCACTTACAACCATTTCAAAATGATGCATGCAGCGTCTCTATATATCAGCTGCGTATGAGTATTAAGGAAGACATCTAAGGGTGTTTTACCTTCATCGCCACACCTGTCACCGAAAAACTCATGTATGCAAGTGCACTCGAATCGTGCACCTCTGTACGTACGAAAACTGGCTTCGCAGGTGCCGTTGTTATAGCATGGATTAGACAAACACGGGTCTGCGAAATTAAAAAGAAAGAATGAACAGAATAAAAATAGAAGATACATATTTTTTTTTACTCAGTAGGGGGCTGAAATACCCTACCATATTTTTATTTTTTATAATGGACAGCATAACCATGCACTTAGGTGTTAAGCAGGCCTCACCTATGTTGATTGAGAATTAACTTTTAATAAAGTTAGCTCCAAATTTAAAAGTGGCAAATTTACTGCTCCACAAAATTGCATTTGTTTGCAATTTTGTAGAGCAGTAAATTTTAATTTTTTTTAATGATATTGCAATCTCATTAAAAAAAATTATTTCCTTTCTAAATAGTTCGCTTAGGTGCCTGCTACTGAAGCTTATCGAAAACAAAATTTAAGTTTTCCAGGTAACCACAAGACTTACAAATTAACTTACCGGGTACGTCACACATTGGACCATAGAAGTGAGGAGCGCATTGGCATCTGTACTTGACCCCTGGAGGGTTATTAATAGCTCGGCAGCTTCCATGCGAACCACATGGATTTGAGAGACAAGGGTCTGGAACAAGAGGAACGAAATTAAAACTGGATCAAAAACTGAAGAAAAAAAACCCTTTTCGTTTGATTTCACTAATAAAACCACCACAATGTTTTGTAAACAGTGTTTTATAATTAAGTCAATCACAGTCTGGTCGCAATTAATATGGTATGAGCAATTAACATGGCAGCAAAGGTTTGTCCTTGTCACAGGTCATATAATTGCAGCCTGGGAGTTTCTTGACTTGAAACTGCACGACCTGTGATGGCCGGTTTTAAACAAGTCCGTCTAAGACCGGGGGGGGGGGGGGGGGGGGGGGGGGACTGATAATGGCCCAAGCCGAAGGCGAGGGATGTTATATACCTTTATTATGCTGCCACCATTTCAGTCATGTTCCTTGTATCCAATACCAGTACTGAATGATAATGTTCTTGTGTAAAAAGGAACCAGACTATTTTTTTCTTCCAGCCTCGCTTTGGTTACGTTGATTTGAATGGGAAAACAATAACGATGGCTGCAACATGACAATGGTCTATTGGCGACCAGGCCCACGGCCGATCTTAAACGAAATAGTTTAATACCGGCCAAGCACACATATTCCCATTCCTTTCGGTCAAAGAGTCAAAACAAGACAAACCGTATAAATTTCCAACAATTTTGTTCAACAATAATACTTTATGTTTTTGAAACGTGGTTTTTCGTAATTATTTGTTTCCCTTTTTTTTTTTAAATTAAGTGTGTTATTTATTGTTATGTTTTCTCGGTATAAATTCTTAACGAGTGACATTTCTTCAGTATCTTCAAAAACTTTTTTGGAACAAATTCTCTCATACTTCTGTCCAATCAGAATGTCTGCTGGTAAATGTACTACACAGAGCTCGCAAGCGCCCCTCCTAACTTCGCCTAATGAGGGCGCTTTACTATTTCAGACCATAAACACGGAGTGTCCTGTCGGCAGAAATCATGACATCCATAACAATCCTAAAAAGGTACGAATAATTCTTTTGTTTCCGTTTGAATGTTCTTCTGTGGGCAAATGTCATAACCGAGAACATTATATGGCTGTACTTAAGAGGAGTTTGCCGACAAACTTGATTGTAAAGTAAAAAGACTGGTTGCCCAAATTCCGGACGCGCGTATTTCTATCCGAACTCGGCCTAAGATTTTGGCGATCGTGAAGTGTAGGGCCCCTGTTTTGTTTCGATCAAATTAAAATTAAGAGTGTTTTTTATTACTCAAAAATGACATTCTAAACCTAAAGCATACCTCTCTCAATATAATGACACCTTTTTGGTAATTTTTGAAGAGTTTCTTGGGGTAGAAATTATGATTATCCTACGCGGTTTGTTAAGGTTGGTGCCGTGCGATTCAGCGCGCCTTGCACACTCACTGTACATCGTGCTGTATAGCCTTCTTTATTTTCATGTTGCGTTTTGTCGTTGTCATCGTCATTTTACCCCCAAATTAATTTTCCCTCAAAAATGCAAAACCCTGCCCTTTATCTATGACATACATGTACCTGCATATTCTTAATGTCGCCATCTAATTTGCTTGGTCAAATAATTTAAGTAGATTTTGTTCCCTTATACATTTTTGTAGGAACCAGGCCCGTTGATACACGATCACCAAGATTTTAGTGTGAATGACTATGGCCGGGGCTATTAAAAAGCTATTGTAAACTGCAGCATTTTCATTCATGCCTTCGGTAAATTATCAGAAATTTTGGAGTCATTAGAATAAGGAGTATAAAAATTGCTCGTAAACTTAAAAACTGGTTCAGAACATCTCAGTCTCAGACTGAGTCTAACGTTTAACATGCTAAGACTCGCTGCAAAATGATAAAACTTGTAGGGCATAATTTTTGTTTTGTTTACAGGTCTTTTGGTATTCTGGGAAGGTTTAAACTTCCACTCGTAAACACAACAGCTGCAACTCGGCCCATCTCGTGTCGGTGGTATTCCGAGACTGAACATGCTGAAGCCAATATGCCAACAATTAGAAGAGGTAATTATTTCCCCTTGTTTCTTTAGTTTTACAGTTTGCAGTTTGGCTGTGCACGTGCATGCATGTACATGGTGTTATTCTTTCCTTCTTGCTTATTTAATTATCTTAATTAGAACTATAGCCTTTGAATTCAAGTTGGTTCTGAAGTGATTGGTGATAAGTGTTTATTGTTTTCTGTCTCTTCAGTCAGGAAACAACTCCAAGAATTGATTGGAACACAGAAAGTGTGGAGGTACGTTATGACTGTAACTGAATGTCGTGTTAAATTTTACTGTGAATATTTTGGGTTTTTTGGGGGGACGGGGTGGGTTTCCTCCTAAACATTGCTTGTATTTGATTTGACTTAATTAGGAAGTGAATTGCTATTTTTAGAGTACATATGCATATGTAGATATTAATTATATGGTTTGTCACATTGCCTTTGTATGGATGCTGCAAAGGCTCAAATCTGTTAACCAGTTCTCGCCGGGATTATTTTGAGAAGAATGGAACGAGGGGCGGGATTACTTTTCACTCGACCTCAAGCCAGGCAGAATGAAGCCATCACCCTCGGGCAGCACACTTGTATTTCCGGTCTCTCTCACTGCCAGATATTTCCAGCCTCACTCTCCGCGTGTTTATTTGTCATCCGTTCTGAATACTGCAAAACTTTTGGGTATACATACATGGCAATCTTGCACGTACTGGTTGAATGAGGTTATGTCACAAGTTTGCTCCTCGTAGTAATGCAAAAACACCGAGTATAAAGAGTTCCAAAAACTATCGCTAGAATTTATAATATTTCAGTAGATGTATTTCCCGTCAAGCTCTGTAAGTTTTTTTTCACAATAAAAACAAGTACAATGTTCTTGTTGTGAGTACCCAGCAAGGATAATGTAATTTTACAAAATGGTTTTTAGTTATAAGATTTGAGGCTTTGCATGGTGGGGTATCGGTATCGTTTCGGTTTGCGGTAACACCATGTGGTAATAACTACTGCTTAGAAGATATTAGTTCTGAGAAGAATTTGTCCTGCTTATTATCAACTTTGCTAAGTAGTTTTTTGTTCTGTTAAGAACAGTCCTGCTGTAAGTTCTAAACGAACTTGTCTTTGGTCTCAACGTTTCGACTAGCCTGCTCTAGTCATCGTCAGGAGACTGGTTTTTAGTTGTTGTGTACATTAAGTTGTTATTTTATGTGTTATGTTAATTTCTTTCGTTCTCATAGTGAGCAGCAGCAGGATAGGTCAGGTCTGTTCAGCCAGCTTGCCCAGAGGCAAGAGGATCTTGAGGAACGATGCATGACAGACAGCTACCAGGAGGCTGTCATTCCGCTGGGAGTGGACCCAAGATGCCAAGAGAAGTACCTCAATTTCTTCAAGACGGTACGCATCGGCAAGATCATGGAAGACCTGGACACATTTGCAGGTAAACGAAAAAGGTTGGAATCTGTGGAGTGCTGTGGCCTCGTGGTTAAGGGCACTGATTCGTGGTCTGTGGGTAAAGCTGCAGGTCGTGGGTTCGAGTCCTGGCGGGGTCATGGTGCGTGTGCCCTTGAGCAAGGCACTTTGTCACTCATTGCTTCTCTCCACCCAGGAGTAAATGGGTACCTATGAGGGCAGTGATGGTTATTGTGATTGAATTAGCTTCCTTGCGCCTAACAGGCAGCATCGAGCTGTATACTCCCCAGGGAGCTGAGATGGTATATGGAATGTTTAATTGGCCCAATGATTAGGGGTAATAATAATGTAAAGCGCTTTGATCTTAGTTAAAAGCGCTATATAAGAACCTGTTATTATTAAGCAGTTTTCTATTTGAAGAGTTCATTTGCAAAAGCAGTTATCTTAATTTTGAAACCTTTTTGAAAAAACCTGCTTTGAAACCTCACAGAGGTTTTGGAATGGTTTTTTTAATCATTTGTTTTTCTTGACAGTATGGATCTCCTACCAGCATAACAGAGACTACACGGAGGCCAATTCTACACCCCTTGTGATTGTCACTGCATTGGTAGATCGGATAGGTACGTCAAAATAGAAACACACATGTGTTGTTTTAGCACTCAGATTGAACAGAACGGAAAAATGACAGCTTTTTATTCCATTTATTGTGTAGGGGTGTAAGCCGGTTACAATTGGGGAATCTGGTCCTAAAGAGCTTGGGAATTCTTATCTGGGTTTTTGTAACATGATGATGGTTCAGCACGCGAAGCCATCATGCACTTACTTGCTTATGCATTTACACTGAGTGTAATCTGAGATGGCTGACTGTACACACTACCAAGAATTATGTGATGTCAAAGCGAAGGGTCTTTAAGCCATAGTGCAACAGAGTGCACTGTATATTTTGTCCAGTATCACATAATCGTTGATTGATTTTTGCAAAATCTTTTTCAGATCTCCACGAAGTTGAAATCCAGTATGACAAGGACATCAAAATGTGCGGCAATGTGACCTGGGCAGGGAAAACATCAATGGAAGTCACCATGCGTCTACATCAGGTGAGATATGTGAACAGGACTGAACATTACTCACAGAACGCCCATGGGTCCGAATCTGGTGGAAATAGAAAGCGTAAATTGATTCCTCAACATTTTGGCCTAAATCACGGGCAGTAGGATACCCCCCTTGCACTTGTAGTACTTTGTATTACATGAGTGATCATTAGAAATGGTGTGGGCATGGGAAACGCATGTGGAAAACTGTTTGGTTGTCTTACCATTATGTGTGGTTATTTCTATAATATAACCTTAACATTTTGATGTGAAATACAGATTGCCCATAATGTGCCAGATGAAACAGCCATGCAAAACGGTGATTTAACAAGCAACCGTTTCCGAGCTGCATATGTATTCCGTACAGAAAACAATTGTAATAGTCCCTGATGTATTTACTCCTTGATGTATCCCGAAAAACAATACGGTGCTGGGGCAGTTTTTGGGCTGTATCGGGATTGATTGGCAGGGTGCTTATGGGCGGTGCAGGGACTATAATCCTGGTATACGCAGATAAAAACAATTCCTTTCAACATGACTATGCAAAGAGGCTAACATACGAGTCACAAGAGAATTGAGGAAATCACCTAAGCTCGTTTTGAACTTGAAGCATCTTTGTTTCCTCAGTATCGCTTTTGAGTCGAAAGCTGACCAACGGAAATATTTGTGCAAAGATTGACAAAATGTGGATTGTTTCTACCCTAAACAACACAGAAACAAGATGACGTTAATTGGAAGAAGTTAATAGGTGCGAGATTTTTGATGGTTGCACGAGACCCAGACAACAAAAGGTGAGGGATAGTTTCAGTTGTATAACAATCAAATAATTATTACCAAAGTAATTCTTATTGGAAAATATGATTTTAATTCTTACAAAGGTCACATATTTATTTTGGGAGTGTTGAAACATTTTCCCTCAGGGCAGCCTACGTACACCCACTAAGGGCCGAGACACCAGAGGAAGAATCCATTATAGCAAGAGGGCAGCAGAACAAGGAGCTACGCTTAGAGCAGTCGGAGCAGTCGTTACTCAAGAGCGCCCCCACAGCCGAAGAGAGGGAAATCATCCACAAGCTGTTCGTCGAAACGCTCGATCAGAGGTTCGAAATCATTCCAATTCCAATTTTTAGCCAAGTGCTGGCTAATTTCAGAAGTGTATATGTATTGAAGTGTCACTCACATATGGGGCGCTGTGGTCCAATGGTTACAGTGTTCAACTCGTGTGCCATGGTACACGGGTTCGAAACCTGACTGTGGGAACATGGTGCTTGTGCTCTTGAGCAAGGCACTTTACCATTATTGCATCGTCCTTCCGATGGGACGTAAAGCCATTGGTCCTGTGTGTTGTGTAATGCACGTTAAAGATCCCAGTATAAACTTGTCGCTGAGAGAAGGGGTTTGCCCTGGTGTTTCTGGCAGTGGCAGCAATATGCGCTGCAGCACCTAGCAAAAAGGTGCTACATAATGGGCCTCATATGCTCATATACTTCATTTACCTGTCTTTGGTTGCATTCTCCCTCAGCACTTTGTATTCTTTGGAAAAGGCGCTATATAAATACAGTTATTATTATTATTTATTATATGGGCCACGTTTTTGCGGTCCTTGACCTGGAACATGTTTCTGACGTCACAGCCATGACATGAAACTTGTTTCCAGTCCACCGCACAAATGCCTGACCACCATGGGAAGACGAATGTTTTGTTCAATTTTACTCGATTTACAAGCAAACATCGGGCAGTTCCTTTTCCAGTATTTTCCCTAGGCAGAGTAATTGTTATGTAAAATCCATTATTCACCACAGACACACCTTATTGGTTCCAAAACCTTTATCCACCAGATTGTTACCTTGGCGCACATAACTTGTAGGCAATATCAATTTGTTTTCTTGCCAAGATTGGTTGGCAAGCAGCTAAATCTCCTTTCTATAGGCGCGGTAACATATAGCCATTAGGGAGCAGTGTTGTTTTTTCCAAGTACCGATTACTGCCGAGTACTTAGGTTGCCGAGTACGAGTACTTGTACCTGTACCTCCAAGTACAAGAACAGGTCTCCAAGTACGAGTACGAGTACTTGTACTTCCGAGTACGAGTACAAGTACTCGCATTTCTGAATACGGCCATACGGCAAATGGTTCATTGTGCGTAATTGGCCCAGGCCCAGTCAGACCGATATTACAGACCCATTCACGGCTAGCTGTTAAATGTGTTCGTCAGGACTTGCACAGAAGAAAATCAGGAAATCTTGATTTCTCAACAAACCAATCAACCATTTCAAACTGAAAGTATCAATAAAATAAGGCCATGGTAAGTGAAGCTATAACATTTTTTTCCCCGAGTACTGCTAATCAAGTACGAGTACTTTGATGATCGAGTACAATTTTGACATGTCAAGTACGAGTACTTTGCTGCCCGAGTACGAGTACCGTCATTTCGAGTACGAGTACTTTGACATACGAGTACAAGTACGAGTACTCAAAAAAAAGTACTCAAGCAGTACTCGAGTACGAGTACCAAGTACGAGTACTACAACACTGTTAGGGAGTTTGCAAAAAGATACAAATGTAACAATTTGGGTTCGCGTGGCGCATGATTAGGCAGGTCACATCAGTTCGGTTTAGTTTTTTGCAGTACGAGATACAACATTTCTAAGTCGTTAGACCCAACAGTGTTGAAGAAAATTTGAGGTGTAGGACATTACACACGTACACACAATTATAACTTTAGTCGTGCACTAATGATATTTTCGGTGTCAAACAATGAATATGGATACAGCTAATTTTTCATCTGAATATGCAAAAACCTGTGTTCTCTGCGCGGCGGCAATTGCATTCAAGTGTCTCACATTTCTCGCTCATCGCTGGCGACAGGGTAGGATGTTGATAGTGCCTTTTACAGCCAACATTACCGTCACTAACATCTCATGTTAAGAACATATTTCTGATGGTCAGTCTAACTTCACTAGCTTAATGATGAATAATTTAAATCTTATTTTCGATCTTTAATTTATGTAGGAGTGCATCTTTCAGCACCCGGGTCAAGCCTGCCAACGCAGTATGGATGGGAGACAGTAAACTCAAAAACCTGATCGTCTGTTTTCCCGAGGTAGCCATATATGAGAACATGATTAATTTCTCATAATATATTTGTATCTAACTTGGTCCCCAAACTTTTTTTGTGTGTCTTGTATATTTGTGTCTGTTTATCTGCATTTCAAAAATATTTATTCATTGATTATTATTTTTGTATACTAATATTGGGAAACCTTCTTTTCTTACTCAGCAACGCAATTTGTACAACAAAATCTTTGGGGGTTTTCTGATGCGACAAGCCCTCGAGCTGGCTTATGCCAATGCAGCAGTATATTGGTAAGTTCATTTTCTAAAACTACCAGCCTATTCCCTCCTATACCATCTTTAAAGGGAAAATACAACATTTGCAATCATCAAAAAATAAAACTACCAAATCATTTTGAAATACCTTGCTGGACTGTTAGTGAATGACAGTGTAAAGCATCCTGTAAAATCATGGCACCTGGTATACTGTCATTTTCAAGAAAAGTGGTATTTTTGAATCAATTTCCAACGCTGATCGGCCGACCAGTGTTGGAAAAAACTGGCTTTTTTTCAAATACTGGCCCCAGTTGACCATCGCACTTGTTTGCAATCGATTACACACCTATGAACGGGTACAAGCCAGCTAGACTGGTTCCCTGACCTTACAATTCCCCAATGTATGTAAACTGCTCTGTTTCTTCTTAAATGGAGTCAGGGAACCAGACTACAGGAAAATGATTGTTTTTCTTGGTTTTTATAGCATTTTCGAACCCAAAACCTCAAAAAAGTCAGTGTAACTATATTTGCTATATATTTCCAACCCCCCAATTCCATCCATTTCTGAAAATTACAGCAAAAGCAAATGATGTATATTCCCTTTAAGGCTTGTAATACAATATGAACATCTGTTACTGGACAGCCAGAATAGGGGTATTGACAGAAACAGCCAACCCTCTGACTTTGAGAATGAAATAAAATTCTGGCTCTTTTGGGAGGTAAAGGTGTCAATTAGGTATGCAGGAAAGGGTAAAGAGGATGAACCTGTGTTTTCAGGAACCCATCTCTTTCGAAGCGATTACGGCAGACTTGAGTCCATGAAATGCTGGTGTGGGGGGATCACCACTACTCCTCCATAGCGAGTCTGTTACCTTCCCAGCATTGAATAATGCCGGTACCCATTTAACACCTGGGTTGAGAGGAGTAATTGAGGTAAAGCGCTTTAATCAAGGGCACAACACGCACGGCCACAGCTGGGTTCGAACCGACAATCTCCCGATCATGAATCCTGTGCTCTACCGCTAGACCACGCGTGCCACCGTATGAAGGATACCAAGAAATTCTGGGTTCATTCATCTCAATGTTTATATTCCTCAGTCAAAGGAGGCCCATGTTCAAATCAGTGGACAGTATTCAGTTCCGGAAGCCGGTTGAAGTTGGCGACCTGCTCTACCTAGCCTCCCAGGTTGCTTACACGGAGAGTAATTACATGCAGCTGAGGGTTCACGCCGAGGTCGTTGACCCCAGGACAGGGGACCGGGACACCACCAATGTCTTCCACTTCACAGTCAAATCAAGTGAACCGGTTCAGTCCGTCCAGCCAAAGACGTACGGAGGTGAGTTGGAGTTGTGCGGATCGTGGCAATGTTGATAATGGGTTGTGGCCTTTGCCAACTTATGTTAAAAGCAAAGTACGAATGGCATTCTCTGGATCATTGTGACCAAAAATTGTGCAAGCTTTCATAGGATTCAAATTAATAAAGGTGCCTAATACCTCCACACCACCGATATACTGTTCCCCCCCTCCCCTTTAAGATATGGGGACCGCTAACTAGCTTCCATTTAAAGCCTTTGATTGGATTGCCTCTGCGCGCGCGCATCACGATTGTTTAATTTTGAATCGCCGTCTCACTTTTGTGCAGGGACGATGGTGATTGAAATCACGATTATCAAGAAACTCACGCTTGTCTTACCATAAAAAGAACATAAAATCACTAGTGTCTCCATGAAAGCAACTTTCAAGCATTTCAACTGCATAGGTTGCAAATATTGAGCGGCAATATTTCTCTCTTTATTGATATTTGCCAGAGATACTTTCAAATTCATCAAAAAATCGAAGCTCATTACCTCCAAAATTGGACACTCGTGGCCAGACCTATTGCCATTTTGCAACAGACTGTCACATCTCTGCGTTAGACTAATGTACTGAGCACATGAGTGTACAGCAATATTCCTTAATTGTCCTTTAATACTTGCACTACGTGTATTTGTCAGTTTTACCATTGAGAGTGTACTGGTATCTGGACTCTGTGCAAAAAATAGTACATGGCGCTTTTCGACCACTTTCGAGAGCTCAGTGGAAGGGACACACTATTTTGCGCATATGTACTGTTTCGCATATGTACTGTACAAATACATAGCGTCTTTGCAAGAGTGTCAGGCATCGAGTCGGCAATGTGTTCGAATGTCCCCCCAACTCTCTCATTGTACATGTAACCGTTTAGGGGTACTTGTGCATGGAGCCTGTAGAGTCAATACAAGATTTACAGACCACATTTTGTGGTTGATAGGTAACATTGCAATTATTGTTTTTCTTCTGGTGTTTGCTTTGGCAGAGTCAATGCTGTATCTCAACGGGAGGAGACACTTCATGAACTTTCTCAGAGAAAATCCAGGTGAAACGCCGGAGTAGCTGAAACCTTGTTAAAACTTATTTGCTTTGAGGTTTCTAAAGGCCAGTTCATGCATCACAGCAGGGATGTAGTCGAGTCCATCGCAAGTCCCTGCGAGTCCATCACAAGTCCTCCAGCCCCAATTCAACTCACAAGCTTTCCAAACAAGCTTTGACAAAGGCATTCCTTTGTTATTGTTCATCCACTGTTACTTGTGACTGAACTTGTGATTTACATTTCGTCACCAACACCACGAGCTGACACACAGTTGCACGTGAATGCGCGGCATGCACACATATTTTACAGAACCGGGTTATTTTCGTTTTCACGAACTGACACCCTGCACAGTGCGGCACTTCTAGCGCGCACTCCGTATATTTCACGAACTGACACTGATCTAAATGTCACCAGTTATAACGGTTATTAATTAAATTTTTGTGTAAGTCACAAGTATACAGATGAACTAAATTAATGTCAAACCTTTCAAAGCGTTTTTCTCCGTACTGTTTTGCCGCAACATGCTTGGGTGTCAGTTCGTGACAACGAAAATCCTTCTATTTCACATCAGTGTCTAATGTGAGTCCGCACTACCAGGTGTCAGTTCGTGAAACCGAAATTGATGATTACACGGTTTTCACTAGCTGACACTTGTGCGTGAATGTCAGTTCATGGTGCCGATGACGATTTTACTGGACTTGTGATGGACTTGTACTGTGATGGACTTGTACTCTGATGGACTTGTACTGTGATGGACTTGTTCTGTGTTGGACTTGTACTCTGATGGACTTGTACTGTGATGGACTTGTACTGTGATGGACTTGTTCTGTGATGGACTTGTACTGTGATGGACTTGTACTGTGATGGACTTGTACTGTGATGGACTTGTACTGTGATGGACTTGTACTGTGATGGACTTGTTCTGTGATGGACTTGTACTGTGATGGACTTGTTCTGTGATGGACTTGTACTGTGATGGACTTGTACTGTGATGGACTTGTGATGGACCTCATGCGTCCCTGCATGACAGGAATGCCAATGAGATGTTATTTTTCTGCGAATGGAGTTTTGCTAGAGTAGAATTGTGTAAATTCCTTGTGTAGACACAATGATGCGATGCCCAAACCGATATTCTCATTCTCATCCCTGCTAAGTATGTCTCAATTTTCATCAGTTTAATTGCAAGTAAAATATTGAATTGAATGCTGCATAAACATGTATGATAAGAATGTTAAATACTTTAGGTTTTATTTATTTCAATGTGATAAAGTACTATAAACATTTATTTATCCATTTTTAGTAGTTTTATTAGGATTAAAATGTCAAAGGCTTTTGAATGTAAACAACACAAAAAAACATGGATTTTTTAAGGACGTTTTTCTCTTTGTAAAGATATTTCAGAACTGTAATTCATAAATTCCTAACTTTTAGAAATGTTGAACTGAACAGCCTTTGTCGGTAGTCGAATTAAAATGTTTGACAAGTCGTTCTGGCAGTAGCTTTTCAGTTTTGTTTTGGGTACCCGTGCAATAGACTAGAGACCCGACCTTATATTGCTATGCCTATAAGGACATTGAACACTATGATATTGGTTGATGTACGTCATGGAGTGGTTTGCATGGGTACATGAGGAACCAACTCCTCATTTGTTGAATCATCTGATCTTGTCAGAGAAGTCAGTTTTTATGCTAACGATTTGCTAAAATGCACCTGAGCTAAATTTTAAAATTGCAGGAAATGAAGTTTACATTGAAATATATTTTGCGTCAACACCAATGCAAATAAAGTTATGAATATAGCTTGACATGCTGTTTTTATTACAACGGAGGGTTTTGTTGCTGTAATGTATTAGGCACCCACTTTACCAGCTTGGGATTTTCTATTGATTTTATCTTTCTCTATTTTCTGTAGAGAAGCCAATACTAATGTTTCGTGTATTTTTTTTTTATCCTCCTGGCTTTTAAGCCAGAAAGGGGGAGATATTGCGATAGTGTATTCCATCTGTGTGTCCGTGTGTTTCATTTTGGTTTAACTGTTTAGTGCTGTCACTTGGTGACAATAATCTGAGGGTAGGGGGACTTCAGATTACTTGAGACATTTGAGGTCAAAGGTCATCTAGGGATCAAATGACGTTATTGTTGATTTTGATCAGGTACACTGAAAAATGTGTTAACTAACTGACTATAAATACTGTCAGCATGCCAGTGGGATCGCGCAAGTTTAACTTGCAGTGTTTTTATTGTTAGTATTTTTTACTAGTGCACCATCTAAAGCATGTACAATGTCAATGAAGAAAACACACAAAAAACACAATTGACTACAGGAAGTAACGCTGGCTTTTTTTGTTGCCTAGATATGGACTTAAAAGTCGGCCATTAAGAGTGAAGGTTGTGTGTAAAATGACTGTTTTGCTTCAGAAATATGGAGCTTCGCATTAGCCAAAAAAACCAAAAAACAAATGGACCAGGAACACGCACAAAAATGGCTGTAATAAAACTGAAAGTAAAGAACAAACTGCATGGGTCATTTCTTAAAGAGTGAATGTAGACACAAGCGTAGTAGCCCCTAGCAATAAAGCTGTCTTTTCCCGTGCTATTTTTAATTTCCATGCCGAAAAATATGTTGTTTTGAAATTGCTTTGTTTCTAGTCATGGTTCTGGTCTTTGTTTCCAGGTCTTTGTTTCTAGTCGTAGAATTATTACATGATTTGCTGCCCGACAATAATAACGCGTGTATTATGTACGTCATTGGCGCAAAGTAAAAACATGATTTTCAGAGGATTAAAAACGTCCCAAATAGAAAAATAGAAATTTTAATGACTTCAAATTGTAGTAAATGAATGGATTAAGTCTGTATATTTATCTTCCACGAACAGTCGTCAAAATGAATTGTTTTGCTCACCTGATATGTTGCAGTTGGGTCCAAAGAAATTCGGTGGGCAATCGCACGAATACGTCGCACCGGTATCAGTAGGCTCGGGTGAGCAGGATCCATTATTCTGACATGGATGTGACAGACACGGATCTATAAATTTCACACAAAAAAGGGAAACAGAAATTAAATTGTACATGTAAAAGAGCAAAATTAATATAATGGATTTTTATCTGCGGAACATTTTCTTATTCAAAATATATATTTAAATATCTTTTGTTCTCAGAAATTCCTCAATTTTACAGATTTTTAACCGAAACGTCCCCTGGCGGTAGCCATATTAAAATGATTGTAGCACTTGGAACTTGCTATGGCCATGCAGTTCTAAACCCGAAGCCTATACTAAAAAGTGCGTGAAAAACCCACATAAAATGCAACTTACGAGAACGTGCATTTCAAGAATTCTTTAACAAGAAAGCAGTACTGTTGCAAGGGATCTACCCGATGTTCCCCAATACCTATGTTCCCCAATACCAATGTTCCCCGAAATCCTTAGGATTAGGGTTAGGGTTAGGGTTTTAAGAGCAAGGGTTGGGGAACATGGGTATTGGGGAGCGTCGGTATTGGAGAACATAGGTATGCACCCCTGTTGCAAAGGGTCCTTTTATCAAAAGGTAGGTTATACATTTTTACCGAAAAGGTTACTGGATTAGTGTAATGGATTAGATATTTTCATCGTTCATGAACATCCGTCAACATGAAAAGGTTTCTCGCCTGATATGTTGCAGGTTGGTCCGAAGAAATCTGACGGACAATTGCACGAATACGTCGCACCAGTCGCAGTAGGCTGAGAAGAGCAAGATCCATTATTCTGACATGGATTGGACAGACACGGGTCTATAAATTCCAAAACAAAAACCAAAAAAATGGGAAACAGAAATGAAATATTACATGCTAAAGAGCAAATATATGACAAGATGGATTTTTATCTGCGGAATATTTTCGTTTTAAAAACATTGAAAAATCTGTTGTTGTCAGAACATCCTCAATTTTACAGATGTTGTTACTAAAACGTCCCCTGTCGGTAGCCATATTAAAATGATTAGAGCATTTGGAGTTCGGATGCAGTTCTTAACCCGAAGCCTAAACCAAAAAGTACCAGAAACACACACGGAAATTGCAACTAACGAGAACGTGCATTTCAAGAATTCTTTAACAAGAATACAGCACTGTTGCAATGGGTTCTTTTGTCAAAAGTGAGTGAAACTTAAATCGCAAGCACGGTATTAATTTATTGAAATTGTAACTGGATTATTAAGTTTTTTCATCGTTCATGAACATCCGTCAAATAGGTTTCTCACCTGATATGTCGCAGGTAGGTCCGAAGAAACCTGACGGGCAATTGCACGAATACGTCGCACCAGTCGCAGTAGGCTGAGGTGAGCAGGCTCCATGATTCTGACATGGATCTGATAGACACGGGTCTTTAAATAAAACAACAAAAATGAAATAGAAATTAAATATTGCATATGTAACAGAGCAGATATCTGAAGACAAGATGGATTTTTGTCAACCGAAGAGTTCCTTCTTTTTTTTTTATAAATCCCGAGAAAAAAAATCTGTATAAAGATTTTTTTTCGGAAATTCCTCAATTTTAAGGTTTCAAAATAAAAGTCTTCTGTCAGTATTTAAATGATTACAGCGTTTGCAACTTTTTATGGCCATGTAGCTGTTAGCCCGAAGCATATTTCTAAAATGAACATTACTGTTTTTGAAAAACAACTTTGAAATTTACATTAGTATAAAAATACAAAAAGGACCCCAAACAGATACTTAATCGCAAGCTTGTTAGCGCCTCACTAACGTCTTTAAATGTTTACTGGACTAGTCTGTATTTTCATCTCCCATGAACGTCCGTCCAAGTAGTAGTTTGCTCACCTGATATGTTGCAAGTGGGTCCGAAGAAAGCTGACAGGCAATTGCACGAATACGTCACACCGTTCGCAGTAGGCTGAGGCGAGCAGGCTCCACGATTCTGACATGGATCTGACAGACACGGGTCTATAAATAAAAAAAAAATGAAAAAGAAATTAAATATTGCACAAAGAGCAGATACATGAAGACAACATGGATTTTGTGCAGAAAGAGTTTCTTTTTGAAGATTTGCTTCTTTAAATTCCTCGACTTCAAACCGAAAGTCCAGGGGCGGATCCATGAATATTGGAAGGGGGGGTGGGTTCATCAGCCCCCCAAAAATGCTGAAATGTAGACCCGTTTTTTGTCCGGACACTTGGCTCCCGTAAAATCAACAGGTGGAAGGGGGTGGGGCTCGTACCATACTTCCAATGGGGGCGCTCACATCCGACGATTATTAGCACTATATATTACACAATAGTGTACAAATACCCCCTAACCCATGCAGCATGCTATGTCCGTATGGCGTATATTAATCCAAGTATAATTGATTTTATGGTTCAGAGCGAGGGGTGGTTAGCCTTTGTTTAAATGAATTTCTATTGAAACAAAAAGTTTGACAGAGCGGGGAGTGGGGGACCCCCCCCCCCCCCCCAGATTTGCGCCTGAAGTCTTCTGTCGGTAGCCATATGAAAACGATTACAGCGTTTGCAACTTTTCATGGCCATGCAGCTGTTATAGCGTGAAGCCTATTTCTCTAAAACGAACCTTACTGTTCTGATAAAGAACATGGACATTCTCATTAGTATAACAACCGAAAAGGACTCGTGCGAAACAGAATACTCAATCGCAAGTTCGTTAATAGCGCCTTACTGATGTCTTGAAATTGTCACTGGATCAGTCTGTATTTTCATCTCCCATGAACATCTGTCAAAATGTATTGTTTGCTCACCTGATATGTTGCAAGTGGGTCCGAAGAAATTAGACGGGCAATCGCACGAATATGTCACACCTATCGTAGTAGGCTGAGATGAGCAGGATCCATTATTCTGACATGGATTGGACAGACACGGGTCTATAAAAAAAAAAAGGAAATATAAATTAAATATTACATATGTAAACGAGCAGATTTATGCAGACCATGAAGGATCTTTGTCTGTGGAAGAGTTTCTTTTTGAAGATATTTAGTTTTCCCCAAAAACTTTTCAATCTTAAAGGTTTCAAACTGAAAATCTTCTGTCGGTAGCCGATTACAATGATTATAGCATTTGCACCTTAACATTAACAGTACTGTTTTGATACAGACAGTAGAATTTCGCATCAGTATAACAACCAAAAAGGACCCGAAACAGGATTTAATCACTGGATTAAACTGTATTTTCATCTTCCATGAACATCCGTCAAAATGAATAGTTTTCTCGCCTGATAAGTCGCAGGTTGGTCCGAAGAAATCTGACGAGCAATTGCATGAATACCCCACACCACTCGCAGTAGGCTGAGATGAGCAGGTTCCATAATTCTGACATGGATTGGACAGACACGGTTCTATAAAAAAAGGAAAATAGAAATTAAATATTACATATGTAAACGAGCAGATTTATGAAGACCATGAAGGATCTTTGTCTGTGGAAGAGTTTCTTTTTGAAGATATTCAATTTTATTCCCATAAATTCTTCAATCTTAAAGATTTTAAACTGAAAATCTTCTGTCGGTAGCCGAATACAATGATTATAGCATTTGCACCTTAAAATTTACATCACTGTTTTGATACAGACAATGGTACCTCGCGTTATCCTTAAAGTGTGTCTTCCGTTAACTTTGTGCCGTTATTCTATCAAGTCGAGGCATTTGCGGTGGATTTTTCTCACAGAAGATCCCTTGAAGTTAAAGAACAAGTGTGAATGATAACAAGTTGATTTTAATTACTTAACGATATTGGGCCCGGATTGACTATTGCTTACCGTTTATGTCGCAGTTGTCTCCGAAGAAATTGGATGGACACTCGCATGTGTACATTAAAAAGCGGAATAACAGCAGATACCATTGTACGAACGGGTCCGAGAGATATTTTGAAACTGTGCATGAACCGTTATTTTTGCACGGAGCTGAAAGACAAGGATCTATTAAAAAATGGGAGAAAAAAAGGAGAGTAGTGAACAGGAACGTTCAGTACGGACTGTTGGTGCTATTAATTTTGTGCCTCATCGTTGTGGCATGTGGACGACGTTTTCCTTTCAGTGACTTCGTGTGGCGAGGAAGGAAATAGATCACGAAGCGGGGCCCTATATAACGTTAAAAATAATACAATTACTCCAATACAACTTAAGAAATGGATATCCGCCCACAATAATTAGGCCTAATCACAGGCATCCTGAGCAGTCAAATTTTATTGTTTAGAATGATGTTTGGAATCAATTCTTGAGAGAGGGAGATCATTCCGAAGCGCTTTTAGACCTCTGGTGTATAAAGCACTATAAAAGCACAATACTACACTGCAAAATCTGTGTTTAGCAATTAAACACTTTTCGAAACACTTTCTTGCTATCAGTTTGTAAACACGTTTAAATACACACGCTATACGTACCGCTTATGGTGCAGTCCCTACCGTAGAATTCGGGTGGGCACGTGCATGTAAATGGGGGCCATTGCGTAGAAGGTAATTCATTAGTAATTAACTTGCCTTCATTTCTCTACACACGTTCCAAAAACAAAGATTTTATTTCACTCTCAATTCAATATGGCCGACTCGTGAATAAGGCCCATGCGGATGAAATGGGTCGTAACAGCGAGCCACTCGTCAGAGTTGTAATCGGGTTATAACACACAAGTGCAATCACGGGTCACCTCAAAAGGAATGCCTATGTCCAGTACATTTGATAACTTGAGACTGGATATCTGGATGTCTTTTGGTGACTTGTGATGACTTGTGGCTGACAGGGACCCCATAAATGACCAGATGTGTTTACGCAAGGACACTTTAGTTCTATAAATGGTGGCAAGTTTTCAAAACGAGCAATGCAATAAATTCGTAATAATCTGCCCAATTTTCGAAGTAATACTTTAACCACAAGAATTCTTGTTTTCTTCTTCCTTCAAAAAAGGCTTCTTTTGCCTTCAAAAAAGGTTTTACGACTAATATTTTTGACAATCGAATACTTACTATCGTCTTGGCAGAGATGGCCGGAGTACGCAGGCAGGCAGTGGCAGAAGTACTTTGGTCCACGCGGTTCACACGTACCACCATTTTGACACGGTGTAAAGAAACACGGGTCTGAATTTTTAAAAAAGCAGAAAATGTATCATTTAGTTCGGTCATGCCTAAGATCCATCCCCTGTTTTAAGCTTTAAAAATAATGCACGGCACCGTTACAAATAAAACGTAGGAAAGTAAAGCCAATTCACAGCTGCTTTTATCTGCATACTTTTCGTTAACGAATTTCTTATAAAGAAATCATGAAACTTAATTGTGAGCATCATTTTAATTGCTACATATACGAACAGCCGTTTTCTACGCGCGGCAACTGCCTATCAGGGGCGGATCCAGGAATTTTCGCAGGGGGGGGGGTTCATCAGCAAAACAAATTGAAATGAAGACAGGCTTGTTTTTCTCCGGACACTTGGCCTCTGAAAATGAATATGTTGGGGGTGGGGGTGGGGGGTTTCGTGCCATCTTTTCAATGGGGCGCTGTTCGAGTCGAACGATTATTAACACTATTATTACAAAGTAGTGTACCAATAGCACATAATAATTAAGCTGGCTTGTCCGTATTTTAAGCACAGGCGGACATCAGTAATTTTTTGGGGGTGTCAGAGCATTGGAGGCTCGAATTATTTTTAAGATATTTCTATAAAAAAAAATGACAGAGCTGGATTTTTTTACCCTCCTCCCCCCCCCCCCCCCCCCGGATCCGCGCCTGGCCATGTCATGTCTGTTGGATTTACAGGCAGGCAAACCAGCTCCCAGAGCATCTGTGTTTTGTTATCTTCCTTATACAATATCTTTGACATTTTAGATCCTCCTATTATTCAATATAAGATACAAATAGAGTAACACAACAAGCTATGTTTTTTTTAAAGAATGTATACTCTGCATATCACCACATCACGTTCAGACGCATTCCTCAATTTTCAATTTTTTGGGAAAAACTGAAGTATCCAAATGTAATTCAATTCACTTCAATAACAGCATTTATTTCAATTCTTTCCAGATGTAAATCAAATTAATTAGCAAATAAATACAAAGTAATAATGTTTATCTGATAAACTGCTTAAGATATTAAAGGAGGGGAAATGACTTCCTCGTTTCCCTTTTTGTTTTTTAATTTGGACCATAAAGGTAGAATTTGCGGTGACACCATGCCGGGGTATAACGCTTTTGTAGATGAGTTGTTCTAAAAAAGGAACCTGAGGGTTTCTTCGACGTTTCGACCAGTATGCTCTGGTCGTCTTCAGGAGAATGTGTATCTGCTTCAGAAATTAACAGGGTTCTAAAATCGGGCCAGTCTCACAATACCAAAGGAAGGAAAATTAAAGTCGACTGATCAACTCACGTTTGTCTTGGCAGTTTACACCTTGATATTCCGGCAGGCAATCACATCTATAACTGGTAAACCCAACCGTCTCGCATGTACCGCCATTTTGACACGGTGAAGGCACGCACGGATCTGGAATAATAAAGAAGAAAATAGGGAGCTTCGGAGGAGAAATTCAATCGATTTTGCTGCCGAAACATAGGTGTTGGATACACAGATTAAACGGCTTTAAAGAAATTCTGAATTGAACTAATACATTTCTCATTTTTGGCTTAAACACAGCGACATAAGTAAAGGGTGTACAATGACGTAACTAGGATTAAATTTCAGTGGGCACCTGGGGTGAACAATTTTTTAAGGGGGCACTGAAGGCAAATGATATAATATTTTTGTTCAATCAAAGATTGCCCCGCCCCCGTGCCCCCGTAGTTACAGGGAAGATACAACATTTGCAAACATAAAAAAAAACGAAATGATCACATTATCACGAAATACCTTACTGGATTGTTAGGGATTGACAGTCTTAAGCATCCTGTAAAATGTGGCTCCTGATGTGCCTACATTTTCAAAAAAAAATGTATTTTTCCAGCGCTGGTCGGCCGACCAGCGTTGGAGAAAACTTGCGTTTTTTCAAAAACTGCTCCTAATTTTTCAAATTTAGTTATTCCGCATTTTCTTTGCAATTGATCACCCCTGTGTCGGAGTACAAGACTGCGCTACACATATTCTCTGACCTTACAATTCCCCAAAGTCTATAAACTGCTCAGTTTCATCGTAAGTGGGGTCAGGGAGCCAGACTACAAGAACATGATTTGTTATCTTGGTAGTCCAGTATCTACAAGCCCATAAAGTGAAACAAGTCAGTGTAACAATATTTGCTCTAACATATACTAATCCTCCAAATCCATTTATTTCTGAAAATTGCAGCAAAAGCAAATGTTGTAATTCCCTTTAAGCCACTGCCTGTGCATCCCGTGCAAATTTGTGGATGGCAAAAATAATTACTTTTTTTTTGTATTTCAGACCCTTGGATGCCTCCTTCAAATAGGACCCCATGTATGGGCGGATACATCCAGGGCTTTGCAAGACGATGGCTGGTATGTTGAAGCCGAACATTCGACAAGGTTGAGGGTGCATGGGGCAGGAGGGTGGGAACGGTGGATGAGGCGCAGTTTAACGTACGGGCCCACCGACCCGGGGCTAAGGCCTCCCACACTAATTAGGGGGCCTCTTACCAAGGGCGGATCCAGGGGGGGGGGGGCAAGCCGCAATTTTTTGGTCCCACTGTGGGGGGGGGGGGACCAACATTTTTTGGGCCCCCCCCCAAAAAAAAATTGTGTTCTGGATCCGTCCTTGCCTCTTACAAATTTCCTAACGAATTTCGTCCCTCAGTAGGGAAAAGAACGTTGCCACACGAGATCGTACATTAGTTGGGCCAATTATTGGAATACCCAGGTATCCTGAATTAATCACAATTAAAACTAATTTACAAATTCCAGTCACTGATAGTATGGAACAAGTCTCATTGATCTCAAAAGTGGCTCATTTCAATTTCCTGTCCTCCGACGCATTGCCTGTGCAAAAGGTTTCAGCCAAAATTGTACAAGAAGTGGAATTTTGGGTAAGTTAAAAAAAACACCAAAAAATTAAGTAAAGTGGAACGATTCTGAAATGGTGACTATAATATGCGACCGGGTGTTGCCCGAGGCCGATCAGCCAAAATAGAAGCTGCCGCACTTGAGGATCATCATTGTCAGTCATTATCGTCGTTTATGTATTTTTCTTGTATTGTCATTTATTAATAAATACCTTGGAGAGTTGATGGTTTCTGATTGGTCGAGACTCGATCACGTGGCCGGGCATTAACGGTGATACAAAGACCGGCTTCAAAGAACAAGCGAATAAATGGCCCCTGAACCAGCTTTGATCCAGCCCCATGGAAGGCAATGATTGGCCAAATTTACAACAGTCATACGGCAGCTTGTAACAAAACAGCACTGCACATGCGCTCAACCACCTTCGCGTGAGACAGACGCGCGCGTATGCAACACAGTTGCTATGGGTGCGCGCGTACGACATCGTACAGCGGCAGTGCACTATACTGAGGATGTTACGACGAAAGCGTAGATCTACGATTTATTTTCTGTAAATACTTCGCCCATCGACATATTTACCTTTCCTAAACCAAGCATCTTTGTAATTCTGGACACAAGGAATGTGTAAACGAAATTTCAGCTTCCTCCATAAAAATATGAAAACATTGTTGTAATTTGTTTGGCTACGGCAGCAGAAGTCGTACGCGTCGCAATGAAGACGTTGCAATTGTCCAGCGCAGCCTGGGCCCGGCTGTGGTGTATATAACAACGCTTATTGAAGAGACATGGTACCACGCATAAGCTAAAATATGGCCCATGAACATGAGCAAAAGGTATTTATTAATGGGAATAACAGTGTGAGGATCCAGTCTTCACTGCGTGATAATGACCGGGTTTGGGGGTGACCGCTGTTAATGGACCTCGACTTCACAGCGGATGACCTCGACTTCGTCTCGGCAGTGAAGACCGGCTCCTCACACTGTTATTCCCTTATTAACCGTCAGAATACACACTAAGGAACACAGTCATTAATTGCTTGGTTTCTGCCTCATTTCCTGCCACTACTGGTAATTGGTAATTAGAAATATGAATTTTTAATAATTTCCCTCCATCGAGTTTTATTTTATAATGAATGTGTACTTATTTGATCATGAAGTGAGCTTCGTTCATTTATAAAACAGTAACTCTTGGAAAACACCCCCCCCCCAAATGTCTGCCTCGTCATCTCGCCCAATTGTCAATTAGGCATCTATCGAAATAAATAATACGTTCTGTTATCCATTTCATTTCAGTTGTATAGTTCTCTAGAGCGCAAAGCCAACATAAAAAAATCCGGCTTTATATACTCCATGTACCTTTTTCATCACAGAGTACGTGTAGCCTAATAACCCTTCGTGTAACCCGACTGATATATGCACCGTACCAACGGCGGCGATTTCTAGTCTGGATGTGGAGGGGACAGTAGTGGCAAGGGAAGGGAATTGCAATGTTGGCATATAAATTCAACGTTTGGTCTATTTCATGACACCAGTATTGTCCACACAAGGTTCGAATAATATAATTATTAATGTAGGATGCATTGGAAAAGACGTTAATAGGCAACGACACGTGAAGGGGAAAGTCGGAGAAAAAGTCGTCTTGTTTGGCGTGGCATTCCGGTGGCCCAGGCCCCCCCCCCCCCCGCTATCTTAATCCGGGCCCGATGAGGCGTTGTTGCAGTCAGTGCATGAGCAAGAGAAGGCTTCAGGCGATATGAATCGAGATTTGCATTATTGATCGATGACGTTAATTTTCGGGAACTTTGGAGTTTTTAACAATTATTTAAATAGTTAACACTAGCCTATCTGATGTGCGTAGGTGTACGTGTGTGTGTGCCTCCTGGTGCGTGTTTATGGTGTAAATCGAGGACACACACGTGCAAAATCCACGATGAATTGAGGACAGGAACCAAACCGAGGACTCCTCTGTTAGAAAACGTGTACAAAACTAATGAGAGTTGTTGCAAAAAAGTTAGAGTATAAACAAAGGAAAACGGAAGAGGATCAATAGAAAATCCTTGATTTATGCCATAAACGCGTTTGTGTGCGTGGGGGGGGGGTGTTAACCACCTCAACCCCCTCTCACTGGACCCACCCTTCCACTTACGCCACTGGTTGTTTAAATACAAATCAGATTTGATTCAGTGATCATATCCACAAGGAGTTGATACCTTCAACGTTTAAAAGGTCACTCTCAATTTGATGAAATAATAAAAGCCAACGCTGTCGGGAAAAATGAAAAAGAGAAGACGCTGCTTTAATATCAGGACGTAGATTAACCTGCTTGCAGTTGTCAGCGTGACCTGAATGGCGACCCCTAAAAATGAAGGACTAACTTAATCAGGCATGGTACCGCCATAAGCAGCGCAACAATGCAATTGCACGCCCCACTTCATCACATCATATGCTGTAGCCGGCGCAATATTCCTACTGGAATGCAGCTTATTGAAGATCCTCCTCTGCATTGACGTAAACAAGACCAGTAGCTCGATCAGATGGCAAAGTTTAGATTCCAACAGAACCAAACATACTAGGTTGCAGTATTATGTTTACTTCTCAATTCAGATGTGTTTCATGGTAAAGCCAAGTAAAAAAAAAAAAAAAAAAAAACCCAGTTTAACCCAATCCTCGCACGTTTCCTTTTTTCCCTGCATGCACGCCTCCCTTTTTTGTTGTAAATTCATACATTTGCGATCATTCGGTGTAGCGATTTTAAGCTGCCGGTGCTCCGGTCCTCACTTTTCAATGAATAGAACCCTTCAATGAATAGAAGCTATTACGACCCTTGAGAGATGTGTCACTGACATCAAAGCCTGGGCTGTCTGCAACAAAATGGTGTTCAACGACGCTAAGACAGAGATTGTTCATCTCAGCTCCCGTTTTGTGAAAGCACCACCCTTGCCCCCCATCATGGTTGGAGAAGTAGGTATTGAAGCATCAAGCTCGGCCAGAGATCTTGGTGTCGTTATAGACAGCACTTTGGAAATGAAATATCATGTTCGCGCCATCACAAGATCAGCTTCATTTGCCCTGCATAAGATTAGTAAGATTCGCAGATACCTCGATAAAACTACTACAGAACAACTCCTACATGCATTTGTGACATCTCGGTTGGACTACTGCAACAGTCTCCTCTGTGGTCTCCCTGCGTGTGACATTTCCAAGTTGCGGAGAGTTCAAAACTCTGCTGCTAGGCTGTTGACAGGCACCAAATATCGTGACCACATACAACCTGTGCTTTACAATCTGCACTGGTTGCCTGTCGCGCAAAGAATCCATTTTAAAATCTTGCTACTCACCTACAAAACCTTGAATGAGCTTGCCCCAGTCTACTTAAATGAGATCATCACCCAGTATCAACCAAATCGCAGTCTCCGGTCATCATCACAACGCCTCCTTCAACAACCTCACAGAGGACGCACTGCTTTTTACAGTGATCGTGCGTTCTCGCTTTCAGCTCCCCGGCTCTGGAACACCTTACCGGCCTATATTCGGGATTCGAACTCACTTGATCACTTCAAAAAGGTTCTTAAAACACATATTTTTAAAATTGCCTTCAGCTAGATAAACCGCTTCAAATAATGTACATGTACTTTTATTATTATTTTTATTAAGTAATCGTCCAGCCAGGTGATTGTGATTTTAAATGCATTTTTTTATGGGTCTTACCGTATATATTAATTAACTTTTTGATGTATTAGTAGTTTTATGAGCTTTTTAAATGTATTCAAATAACATTCAAACTAAACATTTTAATGGACTAGTAATATATATTTAACTTTTTAGAAGTATTGAAGTAATTTCTTTGTAAAGCGCATTGAGATTTCGTATGTAATGCGCTATATAAGAACTAATTATTATTATTATTATTATTATTATTAACCCTTCAGAACTTCACCCTGCACGCCCTGGTAGTTACTGAAAGACGACTGCGAACACTTGCCAACTATTGAATTATGTAATTACACGCACAGTTTTTGAGCTGGCTACCTACAGCAATAGGTGGTTTTCCCTTCTTTTACTTACTGAAATAATAGCCGTCACTTGTCGCTCTCTTGTTGGTATTTTTCAACAACAAAAAACGTTCGGTACGTTTTGTACACAAAAATCGGCAGCCAATGACGATGTTCGGTAAAGCAGAATCGGTGCAATATAGCGGTGCTCGGTATAGCCGAGTGTTCAGTATAGCGGTGTTCGGTATAGCGACGTTCCACTGCATTGTCATTTTGTTTGTTTGTTTCCAACAAAACTGTAGCTAGGTAGAAAGGGTTACGACTCCTTTGGACAACATTTTATATCAGCAAGAGTCATGAAGTAGAAGTATCCATCCGAAATAACAGAAAAGCGCAAACCTCTTTCATTTTTTCCAAAACGCCTGGAGAAGAAACAATTTTTTTTTTTACTCGGCCTAAAGGCAGTCTTATAGTTTTATGTGTGCGCTGCTTCAAGCTTAATCCATGCAAGAAATTTTTGACTAAAATTCTATCGGGATCTCTGCAGTGTAAAATCTATATTTACGGTCGAAATTCCGTAAAAAACTATTACTAAGCTATATCGATCAGATCCCACCATATACTTCTTCGACTCGGGATCTCCATGGTAACTAGACCGGCCACAAAACGACCTCTCTGATGCTACTATACCATCCAAATTGATTGTGTGACAGCTGCACGATAGCATCCATTCTTTGATTCTCATTTGCGACAGACCGTATTTTGTCCTCACGACTCAAGAAACAAAAACACCTCTTGTTTTTGTTTATTATACCGCCAACCCTGTGTGAAACACCATTCCCCCCCCAAAAAAAAATTATAATAATAATATACAAAATTCAGGCAAAGATCAGGCTCTGTGTTATTTGAACAGCTATTGGGAAAAAAAATGAATTCCAGATTTTTTCACGCGAAGTCGTATAGCAACCAGTGGAATCTCAGAAGATGCGTCAGCGAGGATGTTGCCTCTCATCACATTAGGTGTCTATAGTATATTATTATTATTATTATTATTAATCATTTCTGGTAATGAAACCAAGGATTCCTCAAAAGCGCCCAAGGCACTGTAGCTCGCAAGCCTGAAGAAACATGTAGAGAGAAGACAATGAGAAGAAATTGCAGTTTTAGAGGTGGGAGGAAAAGCCCAGAGGAATATTCTGGGGAAAACCCACGGAATCAGGCAGGGACTGAAAACCCAATCCACTTATTGGCCCAGGCGGGATTCGAACCCGGGTCACAGCGGTGGAAGGCGAGGAAAGTACCGCTACGCCAACCTTACTCCCTATGTCATGACTGGTATGTCATGGCAGCCACTATACAGCCAAGGTGCAGATATAATGTACGTAAACTACATCTTGCCAAAAATGGTTTAATTATTTTATTCAGTGATATCAACTCATGATAAACCAATTGCAAGAAACAAAACTAGAGATAATACGCACTTGGCATCATTTAATTTAGCCATCTTTATACGGGTGCATCTGGATTTTTCTTCTTCAGATTTTAATTTGTTTTTCGACCGACTGACCCTATTTCAGCGGTAGACAAAATATGAGAACCATAGAAATCAAAAGGGACGCCTGAGCTTTTCATACATGGCCTCTCCTTCTCATCATTTTATATTGTTTGAACCGCAATCCGCGCTATGCATTGTATAGAATGCCATGGTCCAATGCTTACGGTGCTTGGCTCATGTATGTACGATGGTGCGTGGGTTCGAACCACTGATCTCTATATAAAGACTGGATAGCTAATAAAGAGCCGCACAATGTACGAATTTGACGCCATATTGGTGAGACCGGCTGGTGATCTACAAAGGACAAGTTGCCGTCTTTATAGACAGCTTGATTTCTTTTGTAACGTCGCGGCTCACTTGACTTATATTTTGGCCACCACCACTGACCAACTGACCAAGGTTTACTACAATTTTTCTAACGTCGTGGTTACTTTTATAATGCCGCAAATCACTTGTTCAGCGTTTTTGAAATAATAATCACTACGGAAATGTGTCCCTTTTAGAACATCATAATATGTGTACGTGACCAAAATGCGCGTCAAATGTTGATACAACGCGCGCGTATTTACGCGTAGAACGTTCGTAATATACGCGGCCATCTTCGTGAGACCGGGGGCGAATTGGTCAATATGCAAAGTCTACTGTGTGAATGTTGTATGCATATCCGCTATCCAGTCTTTATATAGAGATCAGTGGTTCGAACCCTTCCAGGAACATGGTGTTTGTGCCCTTGGGCAAGACAACTACAAATTGTCTCTCTCCACCCAGGGGTATAAATGGATAACTATGAGGGTATAGACCGAATGTGCGATGATATCGGCTGCAGTGCAGTCTCGTGGCATAATGAACGCCTTGTGAAGCGCTTTGCCATTGTTGATACGATGGAAAGCGCTGTATAAGCATTGCAATTATTATGCTCTATTCTTAATTGAATTAGGATATTTCTATAATTTTTAGTCGCTAAGTACAGCTGCGTGGTGGACAAAGTTGTTCAGCTTACCGTTATACAAATACAAGGGACTTAATAGATTTATTTCCTTTTTTTGGGGGGGGGCGGGTTTAATGTTCTGAGTTCTGTTTTATTTCCAGTAATAAACAACATATCAAAATAAGGCCGTCGAGTTTATAGTCCTTTGGCAGATATGGAGGTTGGGCTTTATTAAGAGTTTGCCTTGGGCCGCAAAAATAAAAGGAAAATAACAGCTAATCCCCTCTAGAGCTAAATCTCGATCTTCCCCTGATTAGGGTGATCATTGAGAGCTCAGAAGCTGTGCAATTTAACCGTACCAAAATCCTGGCAAGGCCTACTAAATGACGACATGCAAATTTCCAGATAGAAACTACAGTGTACAAAATGTATATGCAAAAACAAAATGAATTTCTGGAACTTACCCGGACATTGGAACCATTTTCGGATTTCCACCGGATCGCCGCTCCTCGGAAAAGAGCCGTTGCCAGTGCTGACCGCGGATGGTCTGAGGGAGGGGTGCGTGTTAACCCCGCCCATTCGAAACTCGGTACACTGGCAGGGGTCCCCCGAGGGAACCACCCACCGGTACCTGGTGGGAGTGGTCGGGTCCGGCTGCTGGCCCAGATAGCAGACTGATGCTACGTAAAAGAATAACAAGAAAAGTATTATTCGTGAGTGTCGGAGGTTTTGACAAAATGCGACGCGTCGACCCGTTATGTAAAAATCCACGCGTAGTCTATAATATCCACCTGAAGTGTATGCAATTTCGGCCCGTAATGTAATAACTGAATTTACCCCCAAGGGCTAGGGCGGATCCAAGGGGTAGCTTGGGTAGCTAACCACCCTCGGGTAACCAATGTTAATCAGTTTACATAATGAAAAATAAAAATAAAATTCCTTTAAGATCCCGAATAATGTCATCACTCAGTAAGTCTCTGGTTGCAGACCTGCAAATCGACTCCCATAGACCTACTTCCACAAATTATTTAAAATACTCACAACTCTCCAAGGTGTTTGACATACCCATCAAATTAAAGCTTATTTCATCAGCTTTTATTTTCTTTTTCCTTTTTTTTGTGGGGGGTTTAACTGATAATTTTTGAAAGACAATTCCATCCAAAGATGATCACACCTAAAAGCAGTCCTGAAGCCCATCGCCATTTTGAAAATGGACGCGTGCGCTCCATTGGAAAATAGAGCCATTTAGGGCCTCATTTCATCCTAATTTCAAAGAAATACGAGCTTGCTGTCCTCTGCACGGCTGCCACCCTTCTTTCTTTCTTTTTTTACAAATCCTCAAGTTCATGGCCCTCAAAATGCTCTAATACCTGGGAACTTGAGGGCATACATATTGGGATTTGGCCCGCGTAGGAAATTCTGGGCCTTTTTACTGATCTGCATTCCTGTTAGTTAATCTTGATTTATTGCTTCAGACCTTTGGTCTTTTATGGGTTGACTGCAACACCTCATTCAAACCCCTCCCCCAACTCCTGAAAATCTCAGACTTCAACATCCCAGCAACCCCCTTTGAAAAATCCTGGATCAGCCAATATAAACATTAATTTTCAACCATAATGCAATAGCCAAATACCGACATGTAATGTGAAAACAAAGTGACCTGTAATATTTAACGTATAGGCCTAAGTTTAACATGAAGAACCTTATGAGCAACCCAATACAATTTTTTTGCGATCTTGTTGCGCTATAGTGCAGGTCCTCAATCCCTATTTGTTGATGTATTTTTGTTTTAAATTAATCGCCAAAACGGTATTCTTCTAAACAGTAATCACTTCTTGAGTTGGTATTTGCATTTCGCTACAAATTTGCGATCAAAAATCTACTTCATTTTAAAAAAAATTTATGATTTTCTTACTCTTTCTATTTAGGTGTTATTTCTACAAATAATCACACCAATTAACAAACTGGTTATTTTGGTCTGCATATAAAAGTCAGTCTTGTACACAATATTTTATCGGCAATTGTCAAATATTAGATAACACGTGACTACAATCTTGCTAATGCAACTGACCAATTTCACTGAACATGTGTTACTGTTGTGAAGGTATGTATGCTACAAAATTGAATTCCCGAGTTCACGAAATTAATTGCTCAAGATATGTTATTTGCTGATGGTACATGTACATCGAAAAACAGAGTGGTCACAAAAAAATGCAACTTTGGGGTTGCTCTTAACTTTTTTTTTGCTGGCCAGCCGGACCAGTTGGCTAGAATTTTGACTGGTCCGCCAGGTTTTTGACTGGTCCGTCTTATACAGCGTGTACCCACCAGTTAATCAGTTTCAAAGTCATAACTAGACTATAGTCAACACCCATGTCATCATGTCACCTGAGCAATAGAGGTCTATTTTCTTCCTCCTTGATCTGAGGCCGCAAACAAATATATAGTTCTGCCTCAGATTACATGCCTTTTAAAAATAGGGTCGGTCGGTCGGCCGGGATTTTTGGGGGTTTTTTTGGTCAATTTGTTTTATGCAGCTTGAATGGGGTATTCAATTAGGCCTCAGTATGCGAAGTTTTAGCCTGATTTATTTTCATTGCATTACGAAAGCTATACACAAAATGATGGCCACAAAAAGTGAATAAAACCTACCTTAATTAGGCCAAAAAAATACTGCTTCCGATTACATGCCTTTCAAAAATAGGGTCGGTCGGTCGGAAATTCTTCTTTTTTTTGCCAATTTTTTTATGCATATTGAATGGGGTATTCAATTTTATGCGAAGTTTTAGCCTGAACTATTTTCATTGCACTACGAAAGCTATACACGAAATGGCAACAAAAAGTGAATAAAACCTACCTTTAATTATTGTCAATATATTTACGTTCGATAATTTCAAAAAATCATGGAAAATTCAGGTCGTTCGCACCATATGCACAACGCTAGTCAAGACGCGGGGAGCTGGCCAAAACTCCGAGGTGTGTGATGCGTGCGTGTGTGGCGAGCGGCCCACCATGGGCCGACGGACCCGTTTTTACGGTCAGAAATTTCGGTAAACACACGGCATGTATCACTCCAAATACGATCTCAAAATGAACTCTTGAACACAGAAAATACATACACAGACAAGCTAGATCAATTCTGTAAATTAACTTGCAAAAATGTTCTTTCTCCATCGGTGTTTTCTTGGCATTTTTACGATGTCGAATCCGACCAGTTGACAGAGCACGTGCCTGGCGCCTGAATGCATAGCCATGCTAGCGCTTCGATCGCATAGCCGTGCACAGACTAGTTACCGCATTTTCCTCATGATGTCTTCTAAATTGGCGCGGCGGGAACCAGTCATCGCCGCATTGAGCTGGGTTTACGCACATGATTATACTAGTCACCGTGACATCGAGTTGCGAAGTAGTCATATCGCGAAGCGAATTTGTAAAAATAACGGAGGTTTCTTTTGAAAAAAATAGCGAATGTAAGTAAGAAACCAAATAAATACAACAAGCATTTTTTTGATGCAGATTTTTTTCGGCTGGCCAGCCGGACCACTTGGCAACGTGTTTCAGCTGGTCCGCCGACAATTCAACTGGCATTTGGCCAGCGGACCACCGCTAAGGTCGAACCTAATACTATATTGATTTAGATTCAGTAACTTCATACTTCCAATATCCAGGGACCTAAACCATTGATGATAATTATGTATGGCTATATTTTTTAGAAGGTTTATGATACCAAGAACTCCCGATTCAGTTCAGGAGTTTTGATTCCAGCGCCATTTTTGTGAACGAAAGTCAGGGGTGCAGACTAGTAAAAAGGCCCGAAATTTCCCACGCAGGCCAAAACACGATTTGCATGCCCTCAGATTCTTCGATATTAGAGCATTTTGGGGGCCCTGAATTGAGGGTTTGTCAAAAAGAAGGGTGGAAGCCGTGCACAGGACTGTGAGTGTGTACTTTTGTGAAATGTGTATGAAATTGGGCCCAAAAAGCTCTCTATTTTGCAATGGAGCGTATGGGCATCGTATTTCAATATGCCAATGGGCTTCAGGACTGTTTTAACAGGTGATCATCTTAAATGGCTTTCCGTACAAGCATTGCATTGGAAAATAAATATGCCTATGTCCACCCTATTTTTTTCATTATATAATTTAGCCTGTACTTTTTATTTATACAGGTATTTTTGCTCTTTATCTTTCTGCGTTCTTACTTTTGATAGTTAACTCCTGATTATTAATTACCTATTTAACTGCTTTGTTATTGACTGAGTATTATGTGTTTACAATTGTTTTATTAGTGAACGTTTTTGTGTTTCATTTACTGCTTCATAGTGGTCACAATATGCTGTTAGCACCTGCCATTGACAAGCTTAGGCTTATTATGGCTGGATTTAATTGCTTTGTCATTTACGACTTCACTTATTTGTTATTTGTTTTTCATAGACAAAATTTATATATTCTATAATTATTTTCCTTTATTGTTACATGCTATATGAATTGTATTTTGTTCATGGTTGGATATAAATAAATGTTATATTGAATTGAATTGAATTGAATTGAATTGAAATGGTAATTTCTACCAACAGTTACCTTGGAGACACCTTGATAGAACACTTTGGAGAGTTCGTGAGTATTTCATGAATTTCTGACGTGGGGGCATTTATCATTGGGATCCATGGCAGTTTATTTACTGGTCTGTAACCTCGGGGATTATCTGGTCTTGGATAAAGTGCATTAGTGCAAGACGGGGATTAGATTGGATTACGTATGATGTGATGACGCATGTAGACACAGCAGAAGGGTGAACATGGGCTGTACTATAGTTATTTGAAAATCAAGTTTATTTCGTTTTGTTAAGATAATTATTTTGTTCACTATGCGATATTTCTAATTAGAGCCCCTGACTTTGGTTAACAAAAATGGCGTTGGCATCAAAACTACTGGACTCTATCCCGGTTCATACTCGGCGCGAAAGCGAAAGCGAACGCGAATTTGTGACTAGTCTTCATGGCAAGTATTCGCGCTGCGAATTCGTAAAAGTTGAACATATTTCAACTCGGGCGAATTTCGAAACGAATGTTTCATGACGTCAAATTCGCTTCGCATTCGCGTGAAGTATGAACCGGGCTTTGGAGTATGAACCGGGCTTTAAGCCCGGTTCATACTCCACGCGAATGCGAATGCGAAGCGAATTTGACGTCAGGGGAGCATTCGCTGCGAAATTCGCCGGAGTTGCAATGTGTTCAACTTGTGCGAATTCGCATCGCGAAAACACGCCCTGACGACGCAGTCGCGCTGAGTATGAACCGGGCTTGGATCGGGAGTTCTTGGTATCGTTTTCCTTCCAACAAAATTTCCTGTCCATATTATGTCAATAGCGTAGGTCTCTGAATAGTGGAAGTATGGGACCACCCTGTATTTTCAACTTTTCGCTCAACTGGCTGTGAAAACGCTTGCCCATTTTCTGCGAATTTGAATACAGGTTTTGCATGATCGAATGAACTAAGTATGAAAATGGACAGGAAAACCTATAATTTGAGCTTTCGATAAATTTACCCGAATGTGAAAATTCTTGCCTATTATTGTGGGAATTGAAATAAACGTTTTGCATAACCGAATGAGCAAGGTGTAAAATTTAAAAATTAAAATGTGTAAAATTATGTATTAAAATAAAAAATAAACAACGATTACAAAAAAATTACAAGCCAAGTTGGATATTTGCCAATTTAAACACTGAAATTACCTTGAGTTTCATTGGCGAGCACAACAAGTGACACAATCACCGCAATGCCTATCAGTATCGACATCCTGAAATCTTCCTTCGAATACGAAGTGCACATCAGCAGACGTTCAGGATAAATAAAGGTATCGCTCTCTTGTGTGTTGGCCGCCGTGCGTGTGTGTGTCGATGTCGACGGCACATTTGCGCGTGCGCTCAATTAATTTGCACACATTGACATGTAACAGTTATTAAGATGTATGCATAGTAACAGCGCGATTGACTTGACTATCGGTAATTGATTTTCTGGAATAACTTTAACAGTTAAGAGTAACACATTTTTCTTAATTGATCAGGAAAAAACGTTTTAAAATTAAATTACCTTTCTGATATAAATATGTTCAAAACTAAAACAAACTTTAATTTCCTAACAACTAATTATGTACTGGACTAATAATTTATGATGGAATCAATAATATCACATTGCAACATTTCATTCCATCTGATTCATATTGGGTACGCATACCGGTTTAAATAATGATTTAGAAAAACGGAGCACATCATCTTCATCAAGTGTATTTAATAACCACATCATTAAACTGCTTATTTATTGCAAAATAGCTATTCGCACGATTATTTAACAAACTTAACACCCCCTCCCCCCCCCTGTTTCCTGAAAACCA